AGCTTCCTGAGACGGATGCCACCTCCAGCCGGGTATGGATCCTCACCAGCACCCTGACGACCAGCAAAGTGGTGATCATCGATGCCAACCAGCCAGGCACCGTCGTGGATCAGTTCACTGTCTGCAATGCCCATGTCCTATGCATCTCCAGCATCCCCGGTGAGTGCCGCCCCACACCGGAGCCAGTGCTCAAAGGGGCGGGGTTTGCGCTGCTCAGAGGACACCTTGGATGTTAAGGAGACTTGCAGAGCAGCACCTGCCTTCTGTGACATGCTTTGGACACAGAGGAGCTGGTGGGGGAGTGTCAAAGCAGGGCCTCATGGGTGGCCTTGTCCTGCTTAGTCTTAAGGATACAGGAGAAGATGCAGTGTGATGCTCACCTGATTAAAAGTAGATGGAATGGTCTCAGCAGGTGACCCCCATTTCCTCCCTTGCACCCCACTGGGACATGAGCTCTGGGTGTGGTCTTGCAGCGGCCAGCGACAGTGACTACCCTCCAGGGGAGATCTTCCTGGATACCGACGTGAATCCTGAAGACTCTGGTGCAGATGGTGTGCTGGCCGGCATCACTTTGGTGGGCTGTGCCACCCGCTGCAATGTGCCACGGAGCAACTGCTCCTCCAGAGGGGACACCCCAGTGCTGGACAAGGGCCAGGGTGAGTCCTGGGCCTGCGCCCTTCTCTCTGCTCCCTTGTTCCTCTGCTTGCCCAGCCAAGCTTCTCCCTCCCTTCCACAGGGGAGGTGGCTGCTGTCACCAATGGGAAGGTCAACCCATCTCAGTCCACGGAGGAGGCCACAGAGGCCACAGAGGTCCCTGATTCTGGGCCCAGTGAGGCAGAGGCAGCTGCAGTGCGGCCTGGGCCCCTCACAGAACATGTCTTCACAGACCCGGCCCCTGCCCCACCCTCCAGCGAGCAGCCTGGCAGGTGGGCGCTCTCAGATGGGCGGAGGCAGAGGGGAGGGAAGGCTGACGGAGGTGGGCAGGGATGGGCCTCCAAGGGCTTCCCTGGAGCCGTCATCCTTCCTGCAGTGAAAATGGGCCAGAGGCCAACTCGAGTGGTGCGCAGCAGCCCGAGCAGGAGCCCACTGGAGACCCCAAGGGGGCCAGCAGCAGTGCCTTGCCCACCATGTGGCTGGGAGCCCAGAATGGCTGGTAGGTAGGGTTCTGGGGGCAGGGGTTGTGGAGGGCCCCTTGGGCAAGCCCCTGCCTACCTCGGCCTCCTCCTACAGGTTGTATGTGCATTCAGCCGTGTCCAACTGGAAGAAGTGCCTGCACTCCATCAAGCTGAAGGACTCTGTGTTGAGCCTTGTGTACGTGATTCCGAGCCAAGGGCCAGGCATTGGGAGGGGCCCTTGGACGGCCCAGCCTGCGCCTGGCTCACCACCTTCCTCCTCCAGGCACGTGAAAGGACGAGTGCTGGTGGCTCTGGCAGATGGGACTCTAGCCATCTTCCACCGAGGTGAAGGTGAGGCCTGGCAGCAGTGGGCCGGTGGGCGACATCTGATGGGCCTGGCAGGGTATGAATCCACCCCCACTGTGAGCAGAGGTGGGAGCTGGCCAGGCCTGAACAGGTGTGGTGGGCTCTCTGCAGATGGCCAGTGGGACCTGAGCAACTATCACCTCATGGACCTGGGCCACCCACACCACTCCATCCGCTGCATGGCAGTCGTGTACGACCGCGTCTGGTGCGGCTACAAGAACAAGGTGCACGTCATCCAGCCTAAGACAATGCAGATAGAGGCAAGTGCTAGCGGCGGGGGCTTCAGGGATGGAAAGGGGCTCTTGGCTGCCAGCATTTCTGCCGACACATCCAATAGATGTTGGGGACAAAGGAACTGCACTTAGGGAGGTGAGTCATTTGTTCAAGGTCACAGGCAGGCAGAAGGCAGCTGGGCTGTGAATGCCAGACTCTCTGGAGCCCACCTGCTGCCTCACCTTGAAACAAGTCAGGCCGACACCTGCATGGGATCCACATGCCTACCCTCAGCCACCTGGGTGCAGGCTCATGGTGTGGAGTGGTTGGTTGGGGCCCTCCTAGGAGCCTAGACCCGTGGGAGCAAATCGGGCACTAGAGCAAATGTCACATGGAGCTGGATAGACGTCAGGGTGAAGTCTTGGCTGTGGCCGATTCAGCTCCCCATCCTCTGTCCCCCGTTGATGGGCTGCTGTGACCTTGCAGAAATCATTTGATGCCCACCCACGGCGGGAGAGCCAGGTGCGGCAGCTGGCATGGATCGGCGATGGGGTATGGGTGTCCATCCGCTTGGACTCGACGCTGCGGCTGTACCACGCCCACACCCACCAGCACCTGCAGGATGTGGATATTGAGCCCTATGTCAGCAAGATGCTGGGTAAGGTTGTATGGGGCTGGGCCTAGTGGGGCAGAGAGGAGGACCCAGGAGGCAGTGCTGACCCTGCCTACTCCTCCCCCAACCCCAGGCACAGGCAAGCTGGGCTTCTCTTTTGTGCGCATCACGGCCCTGCTTATTGCTGGAAACCGTCTCTGGGTGGGCACCGGCAACGGAGTTGTCATCTCTATCCCACTGACCGAGAGTGAGTGACCCCAGACATCTGCAGAGATGGTGATGGCAGCTGCTAATGGGCATGTGGCAGGGCCCTGGGGCGGGCATGCTCTGCCAGGCCACACACAGGAGGACACGGGCTGCGTTGGCCAGCCGTCCTCAGCCTGCCCCTCCTGTGACTGCTTCTTTCCTCTCCCTTCCATGCTCTGCCCCTCACCTCCCCCAGCTGTGGTCCTGCACCGAGGCCAACTCCTGGGCCTCCGAGGTAAGTCCAGAGGCCTGCCTCCTGCTCTCAGAAAGAAGCCCCCCAACCCGACTCCCTGGCAGCCCTGCTGTGCTCCTGCCCTCTGCCCTCGCCCGCCTGCTGGAAATCTCCACCAGGGACGCAGCCCCTCCCCAGGCACTCTTTCTATCTCCAGCCAATAAGACATCCCCCACGTCTGGGGAGGGGGCCCGCCCAGGAGGCGTCATCCACGTGTATGGCGACGACAGCACGGACAAATCGGCCAGCAGCTTCATCCCATACTGCTCCATGGCCCAGGCCCAGCTCTGTTTCCATGGGCATCGGGATGCCGTCAAGTTCTTTGTCTCCGTGCCAGGTGAGTGGCCCGGTCCCACTCCCTGCAGGCAGCCCCTATGGCCTCCCTTCAGGAGCCTTCATGGGTGCTCTGGCTGTCCTACTAAGGTCCCTGTACCCCATGACAGGGAATGTGTTGGCCACTCTTAACGGCAGCGTGCTCGATAGCCCATCCGAGAACCCTGGGCCTGCCGCCCCTGCCTCAGATGCCGAGGGCCAGAAGCTGAAGAATGTGCTGGTGCTGAGCGGTGGGGAGGGCTACATTGACTTCCGCATTGGTGAGTGGGTGCTGCCTTCAGGCCCCGGGGAGTCCCTGATAAGGACAGCCCCTCATAGCCATCTGCTCTCTCTCTAGGAGATGGAGAAGATGATGAGACGGAGGAGAATGCGGCAGATGTGAGCCAGGTGAAGCCCATGTTGTCCAAGGCTGAGCGCAGCCACATCATCGTGTGGCAGGTGTCCTACTCCCCTGAGTGAGGCATGGCCTACACTGCCCCCTGCCTGACATCATGTACATACGCTCCGCCCGGCTCACCTGCCATGACTGCCTCTTGGGGCAGCCCACCAGCCCCTCTAACCTCTCAACCTGCAGCTTTCACCTTAGGTCTGGCCTGGGAGCTGACAGGGGCAGCAAGCAGCAAAGCAGGTCTGGCTGGGAGGGAGGATGTGGGTGGGAGGGGCAGCCTCTGGGGATACCCTTTTCCCAGCAGTTCCTGGCCCAGAGTCCAGAATTCCAGAATAAGCAGCCCCCAGGTAGCTCTCAGCTGCACCCTGGGCTCCCCATTCTCATTACTCATTCCCAGGATGCCCAGGACAGGAAGCAGGGACTTCAGTCTGCCAAATATTTCCCCAGCCAGGGCCCACTTGCCTTTGCCTGCTGTCTATGAGAGTGGGGGCCCGAACCTATGGGAGCCAGCCCAGCCACTAGCCTGCCCCAGGTCCCCCCCTCCAGCCCTACGCCTGCCACCCCAGGAACTGGCACGAAAGCATGCATCCAGGCTCCCTGGGGCGGCTGTTTGAGAAGACAGATGCCCTCTTCCTGCTCAAGCCCCCTGATTGTCCTGTGTGGCAGGCTCTCAGGAGTCCTCATTGACCCATGTCTCCTCTCCCTGTCCTGGGCAAAAGACCACATTATAGAAGCAGTCCTGTAGTCCTGCCCCTCGCTGGAAGCTCTAGGGAATCCCTAGGATGGAATATCTCAGTCCACCAGGGCACACCCAGGCCTCAGCATAAAGGCGGGGGGGCCATTGGGATGCAGGCTCAGCCTCAGGGTGATGGGGGAAGGTGTGATCCAGAGCCTGCCTCCCAAGCAGTCTCCAAGGTGCCCAGCTCCCTAGACACACTAGTAAGTGCCTCGGGCTGGTGGTGTGGTCTTCTCCCTTGAGGGCAACTGACAGGTTGACAGCAGAGACCCTAAGGGCTAAGGACAGGGACCATCTCCCCAGCTCTAGGAGCATGCACTCACCTGCTTTGAAGGGCACTGCCCTGGACTGCCGCCTCCCCACCTGCCCAGGCCTTACTCCTGCTCCAGAAGGCACTGATCAGGCAGTCCCAGGCCCTGCTGCCCACCCACCTCCCACCAGAGAAGCACAGATCTTGGGCAGCCATCCCACAGCCCAGCCAGACACCACTGCAGTCACACGTAGCTGCAGGCTTCTCCCCACCGCCCTGCCACTGTCCACTGTGATGTCCGTCAGGTCCCTTGTCTGTTCCCACAGGGCCATGAATGACTGGGGTTTATCCGGGTGGGTGCAGCTGGGGAAGGGCTGGGTGACTATTCTCCTCAGGCTTTGGCCCTGCAAGCAAACCCATGTATCTGCTCTGTATGTAATAAATGTCTTATCATGGTACCTCTGTGTCCCTGAGTCCAAACCAAGATGAGCTCCAGGTTCTCTACAGTTTATTGTAAAAAACAAAAACAAACAAACCCCACAACACTGGACCAAGCTGGGTGCCAGGGACACCGCCCCGGTGCATTTCCAGGCATGCTGTAGACAGTGGCATGCCAGGGTTTAGGCAGACCCAACCTCCCCTGCTGGAGGTCCTAGAGGGGTACTGTGAACCCTGCCACAGAAGGGGTGTTCTGAGTACCACTTCCAGGGCTGCAGCCTATTGTAGCAAGTCTATCCCAAGAGGCCCTGGGGCCCTGGCGTCGGGTCCCCTGCCACTTAAAGAGGAACGGCCCGCTCCCCATTACTCATACAGCCAGTGTTCGGTGCTGTCCTCCCAGCAGAGGAGCTCCTTAGGATGGAACCAGAGTGCGATCTCACGGCGGGCGCTCTCCACCGAATCACTGCCATGAATCACGTTCCTGCGCGGGAAAGGCGCAAATAAGCGCCGGAAGGGCAACAAGGGCTCCCACGTTGCCCTTCCGTGGTCGGGACCGAGGATAAGAACGTCTCCAGGGGCCGGCCTTACTTGCCGACCTCGATACAGAAGTCCCCGCGGACGGTGCCGGGCAGGGCGTCCGCCGGATCCGTGGCCCCGATTAGCGCCCGCGAGGCACTCACGACGTCCAGCCCCTGCCACACCTACGGACGGGGTCAGTGGGGCGGGGTCCGTGGAGCCGGGTCCAGCGCGCCTCCCGCCCTCCGGCACTCACCATGGCCACTACCGGCCCCGAGCCCATGTACTTGACCAGGCGGTCGTAGAAGGGGCGCTCGCGCAGGTCGGCGTAGTGCTCTCGCAGCAGCTCCTCCGAGGCCTGGGGAGGGAGGGGGTCCGGCCGAGTGCTCCGAAGCACCGTCCCTTCCCGCGCCCACCTGTCCCGCCCTGCCCTCTCCTGCGAACTCCCGCTCCCGACTTCACCTGCACCAGCTTCAAAGCCACCAACTTGAAGCCCTTCCTCTCGAAGCGCCGCACGATCTCACCCACGAGCCGCCGCTGCACGCCGTCCGGCTTGACGGCCAGGAAGGTGCGTTCGTGCACGCCGCAGCAGGCTGCGGGACCGGTGAAGTGGCACGCGTCAGGCCTGGCTGCACGCCCCCCCACACACACACACACCCGGCGTAGCCCCTCGACACAACCGCGCCGCTTACCCGCTGGGAAGAGGTTAGCGAAGATGGTCAGCACCAAACAGATCATGATGGCGGCAGCGGCTGGGGCAGAGCGCAGACTGGGGAGGCGGGGGAGGGGTGGAGGCGGGGCCTGCGCTTAAAGGGACCGCCGTCCGACCCCGCCTCGTGCTGTCCTTCTGGACTGGCTACCTCTGTGGATGCGTCGAGGAGGGCGGGGGCTGGGAGAACGCGGGCGAAGCAGTGAACCCTGCCTGTCGTCCACGTCCATCCTGGGACCTCTCAGGCAGAGGGGCCGGAGATTTCCATGCGACGACCACATCTGTGCCACCCCCAATCCGCTCCCGTCTCAGTCCCTCCGGCCAGGTACACCACGGTGTGTCTTTCTCCCAACACTCCTGCAGCCCATCCACCACGGTGTCTCCCAACCCAAACTCGAAGAAACCACAACCCGGGGCTGCTTCATTTGCTTTTATTCGCGTTCAAGCTTTGTGCCTGGCTGAAGTAATGCACGGATAAGGAAGGCAACCCAACATGGAAGTGACAGGGGCCAGTGCTGGAGCTCTGCAACCGCTAGTCCAGCTTTCAGCTTTCTCCCAGCAGCTATCTCCTGTGTGGCCTTCTCGGTGAAATTTAGGTGTTGGGCAACAGGTAGAGAGGAAAGAAACAAGTGGGTCTGGCGCCAACCTTTGTTCAGTGCAGTCTCAGAACAAATCACGGAGGTCGGATAAGATAATCAGCACCCAGGAAACTGATTCAGGTGGAACCCAAAAACATTTTATCAAAATGGTGCTCACTGCCTTACACCCTTCAGGGCAGCCTGCCTCTTCTGGCATTTTAGACTGGAGTGCCCCTGGCCTTACTCTTTGCCTGCTGTTTCACAGGGTAGTCCCAGGGATCAATGCACGTTCTCCCCAGATTCAGCATGGGCTCCTCGGTGCTATTGTCCCCATTTTTCTGTCGCTCTGCTAGAATCATGGCCCGGAGCAGCGGAGGGTAGGGCACAGAGTGCTGAGTGTCCTCTGGCACCGGCGTGAAAGCGGTAAACGCTTCCTCCTCGTGCTTGGGCACCAGCCGCCAGTCGTGGTACATCACCTGTTCGATCTCCCGGGACTCGCCGTCCGTCTTTCCTGAGGAAAAAGGATGGAGTTTATTGCACAGACTCGCGAAACACTCTGTTAACCGCCACCCCACCTGTCTCCGACTCCTTACCTTTGAAGGTCAGGATGCCCCAGGCCTTCCCATGGTCCAGGTTCTGCAAAGCAAATAGGGAGGGGATCAGCACACAAAGCTTTCTTGCCCCCAGAGATCAGGATGCAGGAGACCCAGTCCCACAACGCCGCAGGCAGAAGGGGCAGTGCAGCTCTGCGTTGCTCGGGAGCCGGAAGCACGAACCTGCGCCGTGTAGTCCGGCCGGACACGCGTGAGGCGCCAGTAGCACGGCTCGTCGTGCTGCCACAGCCAGGACTTGCGCGTGACTAGACGGCCCAGGCCGAAGGACGGGAGGCGGCCAAGCAGCTGCAAGAGGCGGCTCTCGCGCTGCACGTCGGCCCAAGCTCGCACTGGCAGCCGGCGGCCAGAGTGCGGCCGCGTCAGCGTCTCGTAGTCTAGGGAATAACGCTGTGAATCGCGCGGTCGCTCCCGCAGCTCGCGCAGGGCCCGCACCCTGCGGGCCAGCTCGGCGATCAGCCGCGGCCGCACTCTCTTGCGAGCCATGGTCTGTCCGTAGCAACCTGGTCCAACTGGAAGCCGCCGCCGAATTTCGCTACGCCCGCCCCGCTGCCGGAAGTGGCTGGTGTCCTCCGCAAAGGTGTCCGGGCGCGGCCGGAAGCGGAGGAGAGACCGGGCTGACCATGGCGAAGGTTGGGCCCCAGAGGGCCGGGGGCTCGTGTCGGGCCCGGGGACAGCGGCGGCCTCCCACCTGGGAGATCTCGGACTCGGACACGGAGGCCGACGCAGACGCCGACTCGGAGGCCGTCAAGAGGAGCCGGGACCCGGCGGAGGAGCGCAGAGCGGCGGCCGAGGCGCTGCGGCAGCTGCGGCCCGAGCAGGCGCTGCGGCGCCTTACGGTGCTCGTGGACCCAGGTGCGCCCAAGGGTGAGGGCAGGGGTCCTGGGAGACGCTGCAGTTCTGCTGAACCTCGGGCGTTGGAATCTCTTGGGAGGTTGTCCCCAGCCCACTGTGGGGTGAGAGGAGCATCTGTCAAGGCCGCCTCTTGGTCAGGAACTAGCGCCCGCTTTCCAACTGGGGAGCCTTATGAAAAGACTCCGGGATCTGGACCCGATTGCACTCTTGGAGCTGGGGGAATCCGTGTTTGTAACACGCCGCCCAGGCTGTGGGTCCACTGTGAGTAGCATTCTCATGGAAAAAAAGGAGTAACAACTGTCTATTCTGCCTACCCCAGCTATTCTGGAAGATGCTGGTGCTGACATCCTAATGGAGGCCTTGGGCACTTTGGGCTGTGAGTACCGCATCGAGCCCCAGCACCTCTCCCGCAGCCTCAGGTGGAGCAGAGTGAAGCCAGAACCTTGCCCCAACAGTGTGAGTGTCTTAGCAGCCTCCTTTCCTGGGTTTACATAGTGTGGCCCTGGGTTGGATGTTTTACCTCCGTGATTTCATAGGAAGCAGCAGTTCTAATCATGCATATAAGCAAGAGTGGGGAATGCAGAGTGGGTGATGCCGAAACCACTCTGCTGGTCAGATGGAGGCCTGGGTCCGGGGTCTGAACTCAGCTCGTGCTGAGGGATGTTCCACCCCCATTGATGCTGTGGTCAGTGATCCTGCCAGCCCTATGGGCCAGCCCTGGTCTTGGCCTCGGCAGGAAACCACATTCTTTAGAGCAGTCCTTGTGGGCATGGGCTTGCCTGTGGCCATGAGCCTTACGGCTGCTGTGGTGCTCAGCCCGAGGCCCTGGGCACTTGAGGCTGAGGGTGGGCAGCAGTACCCCTGCATGTCTCTATAGGTGCCTGCTGAGGTGTTGGCTGCAGGTGAGCAGGAACTTCTGCTGCTGCTGGAGCCTGAGGAGTTTCTGCAGGGTGTCTTCCAGCTGACCCAGGTGCTTGGTAGGGGCTGGGTTCCCTGCTTGGATGTGATGTTCTGCCAGTCCTTATCAAGGGCAGAGGGGCTGGAGAGGGCATGCAGTGCACTAGGCCCCCTGTCTGTTCAACAGCCAAGATGTTGTGGCTGAGATGGGGGAAGCCAGCTGGGCTCTTGGCCTTGGGAGCAGACGGGAACTGTAGCTGTTTCTGGAGGGCAGAAGCAAGGATAAGGAGGGCCCTCTGAAGAGCTGAGTCAGAAGCCAGAGGTAGGAAACTGGTGGGAGGAAGCCTGGAGATTTGGGCTGTGGGTTGGTTGTGCAGTCCGGCAGTGCAAGCCAACAGCTCAGCCCCGACCCGGCTGAAGGAGAAATAAGGACTGCTCAGCTGGTATTTGCACCAGAGTGTCATTATGTTAGACCCTCTTTCGGGTCCCAGCATCTGAGGTTCAGCATTTATCAAGCACCTGCTGCCAGGCAAATGCCAAGCTGTGGTGCAGAGTGGACCAGGAATAGGAAGAGGGACGCAACCCAACTCTTCTAGGAGCCTGAGGCAGGCTCCCAGGCTTTCATAGGTTCCCTTGACTTCATGGGAGGCACACAGCTGGTTTTCTAAAGAGAATTGGCTGGGAAGAGAAAGCCTGCTCCAGTCTCCTCCCAGCAACAGTGGGCCTTTCTTGCTCCCCGTCTTCCTGCAAACTGGCAGTGGCCTGGTGGCCTGTGAGCCTGGCCTGCCGCAGCCCTAAAGAGTAGGTGTGATAAACCTTCTTCACTTGCAGATCCGTGGCCCAGTCTGCTCAGTGCCCTGGGTCTCTCCTGAGAGCCCCACCTGCCCCCACCTGGCTGTCATCGGACTGGATGCCTACCTGTGGTACTGGGCCACCCTCATACCCTTAGCAGGCCTGGCTGGGTTGGGGGAATTCAGGGAAAAGGTCAGGGTAGCTCTGCAGCTACTTTGACGTGGCTAAACCCCTCTTGTGGGCGGGCTCTTGGGGCAGCAGGAGAACTCAAGGAGGGTGGGACTGATGGAGTACGGGGAGCTGGAGGGATAGTCATCTCTACTCAGGTCTCGCGAGCCCAGTGCTCAGAAGATGCGGCAGCCAGAGAGTCCAGGGGTGGCCCATGCCGAGGTGGTGGTTGGCTGGCCTGAGGTGGAGGAGGTGAGAGCAGGTCAGGTTGGGTGAGGTGGTTGGACTTGGCCCTGGCACTCAGGCTTGTCTCTGAAGCCCAGCACCTGGGTTTGGTCACAGGGAGAAATGTGGGGTTGGTATCAGCCGGGTGTCCCCCAGGGGATCCCTCCTCTGACCCACCTCTGTGGGTTTATGTTTTCCTCAGGCCCTGGTGCTCCTGCAGCTCTGGGCGAACCAGGACGTGTTGCTGGTGGCCTCCTGGCAGGAGCTGAGTCAGCACGTGTGTGCCTTCACCAAGGCCCTAGCCCAGCGCCCCTTCAAGTGCGTGCCCTCTACCCCAGCTGGTGGCTGCTGCCAGGAGGGTGATAGGGACACCTGGAGGGGTGGCTGCTGGGGGGCTGGGTGGTCGGGAGAGATGAAGCCTCTAGAAACCTCCCTGTACCCTCCCCATCCTCAGGCAGTGCCAGGAGTCCACTGCCTTTTCCTTCTGCACAGCCAGGCGCTGGGTGGCAGGCGAGCGAGTGACAAGCGATGATACAGGGCTTCGGGGGGCCTGGTGGCGGCAGGTCAGGCAGTTCAACCGGGTCAGCCCAGCAGTGGCAGATGCTGTTGTCACTGCCTTCCCATCCCCCCGCCTTCTGCAGCAGGTGAGCCCTCTCCCATCCCCCTACCCTGGACTCCCAGAGATGGAGGCCTGGTCCCTGAGGCCTACCCTGCTCACCCGTGCCTAACCTAGGCGTACTTGGCCTGCGGCACCGAGCACGAGCGCCTGGCCCTCCTGGCTGACCTCCCTGTGAAGGTGGGTGAAGGTGCTCGGCCCCGAAAGGTGGGGCCTGACCTTTCTCGCCGAATCTGCCTCTTCCTGACCTCCACCAACCCTGACCTCCTGCTGGATCTGAGCTCCTGACTACGCCTGCCTGACCTACAGCCTTCTCGGCAATCAGCAAGACAGCAGGCAGCCCAGCCAGCAGGTGACCAGAAACCGCAAGAGGTGAAAGGGGGAAGGCGGTCACCTAGCACAACCTGTCCTTCAGCCTGGGGAGGGGCTCTCTGTCAGGTCTGAACCCAAGAGGAGGGCACAGGTAGCAGGAAAGGTCCTTGAATAACTGGGATGACCCTCCAGGTGGTAGGCTGGCTCAAGGGGGCTGGAGGAGATGGGGGCAGGGCCCCACACATGCTGGCTGCAGGCCTGGCAGCCAACTGGGACAGTCAGAAGGGCTGGGGAGCACCCAAATCCCTGCTGGGGGACAAGCACCGGTCACTTGGAGGCTTGGGGGTGGCACCTTCAGAGAGTAGTGGTGAGACAAAGTTTTGGAGAAAAGAGAACCAGGCTGCCTCTTTCCAAGGCAGAACCAGACAGCACTACCAGAACCATAGGGGAAAAGCTAGGAACACCCGTGAGTCCCAGGTCCCAGTATGGATTCCTCTTCATTCTACCACTATGGAGGTGTCAGGCATAAACTCTTAAGTTTATTACGGCTGTTTCGGTCTTGGACAGGAACAACTGACAACATGCAAAGCAAATAAGGACAAACCCAAGGTTCCCCAAGGCTGGTGGCTACAGGAAAGCTGACCTCTGATGAGGGTGCAGACCACAGCCTCCCAGTCCTGCAGTCTCAGTCCAGAAGTGCTGGGGTGGCCACTCCCAAGGGACTCTAAGGAGGGAAGCAGCTGCTTCCATACCTGCCACACGAAGCAGATGGACTCAAGACAGTCCTGGTATCAGGATCCCAGGGCCTATGGCCCCTGGACTCCTGTGGCAAGGCCCGTCCCAGCCTCTGATGGTGGAGGGACAGTCCAGACAGACCCTGGGCTCAACTCCTCCCTCTCCTGTTACCCTGGAGCATGGCCTGAGGGAAAGGATGGAGAAAATGCTGTCTCAGCCTCAGAAGGCAGTTTTCACTGGAAAATAAGTTAGGTCCTTCGGCAGCGCTTCCTCTGGTAGCGCCGGGTCTCTGGGCTGTTGGGACTGGCCGTGGCCTTGGGTGAGGGCGCAGGGGACTTGTGGTGGCCACAGCTCATGCTCAGGACCCAGCCCAGCTTGTGGTGTAGCACCTGCTTGAGGCCAGGTGGCAGGGGCAGGCCTTCAAGTGTGTCCCCAGAGTTGGGCCGCAGCTGGCGCAGGCGGTGGCAGCACAGGTACTGCAGGGAGGTGGCGCTGGCACAGGAGCGGATGACCTTCATGCTGCTCTTCGCCGCCGTGGAGCACACCATCGGATAGAACTTTCTGTTCTGCAGCTTGGTGGCTGCCACTCCTAAAGGAGGGGGCACAGCCTGAACACTGGGCCAGGAGGAGGCTTAGCTACTCCTTGGACATCCTCCTGGGGTAACAGGTGGCACTTGTGCTGGCCCACCTTCTGGAGACCTTTGGACCTTAGACTTCTTTCTTCAAGGACACCTTTTCAGGGAGCCTCAAGACCGCTCAGCCTGGGCCCCAATCTCTGCCCCTGCAGTACCTCAGTAAGAGCAGCACCCCACAGGCATAGTGTCTCCCCTGGGATCCTGACCACCCTTACCTATGCACTTCCTATTCTTGAAGAAGGTCAGTGTTCCATGCCAGGTGTCCAGGTGCACGCCAATAATGGAGCCCTGGCCGAACCGTGAGGAGAAGCTCGTCTTATCACCCTTGTGGTGGAGGAGCCCTGGGAGATAGCAGTGTGGGGATTAGCTCTGATGCACGGGGGCTCCTCCCAGCCAGCCTGCCCTTAGGGACCCCATGTACCTGTGTAGGAGAGGCCCCAGCTCTCCTCATCCCTGCCAAGCAGGCTGCAGAACGTGTGGTGGTACTTGTCTAGGTCCACGTCTGATGTCCCGATGCCCACCATCTGGAGATAACAGGCCAGGCAGAGAGGACCCAGGGCCAGGACACCCGGCAGTACAACCCCCCACCACCCCCGCCCTGCCAGCCACTTACCATATCAGTGCCATAGACAGGTGAAGTCATCTTGATCTCCCAGAAGTGCTGCCCTTCCCCCAGCTCCTTGGTGCCTCGAATGGCCGCTGTGCCACAGCTATACTCCACATGGAAGTTGACCTTCCGGTTGTCACAGCTCAGCAGGGTGGCCGAGGACTTATTCAGGTCGTCCCAGACCCAGTCAAAATCTGGGAAAGGCCAGATCGGGGTAGTCTGAGCCCCTGCTGCGTCCTCCTTACCTGGTCCAGGAGATCTGCCCCAGCTGCCCCAGGTGACCCCACACCGGCGCTTACACTCATCTTCTTCCCCACAGCGGCAGTCCTTGCCCCGGTGGGCCGCCGTGTACAGGCTGCTGCAGAAGGAGGCCTCGCTCTGATTATCACAGTTGCAGAAGGACTCTCCTGTCACAGGCACAGCGCTGGGGATGGACGGCGGCAGGGACAAGTACTCAGGGTCAGAGTCAGAGTCACTGTGCTGAGGAAAAAAAGGCAGGCTGTTCCCCCCTGCTGTGCCTTCTGCTCTCCGCCTGCCAGCAACACGCACCACAGGCCAATGGATGAACTGCTCCAATGCCCCCAGGAAAGGATCTGGGAGTTTGGCCCTGGGTCCCAAGGGCACAGCTGGTCCACACTCCTAGAGTGACCCTGGACACCTCCTGGCTCAGGAACTGGGAGGGCCTCCTTCCAAAGGCCTGCCAAGCTACTAGTTTCCTGAGAGTAGGCTTAAGGGTTCAACCCCATGTTTGCACATCCAAAGGGGCCTGGCGGCCCAGGCACTGATGAGCCCACAGCAGTACTTCCTGCTTGGCCATTGTTCTCCAGGCAGCTTCTACATCATGGAATAGCTATGGACCCACCAAGGATGGCCTGAAGCAGGGAGCCTCTTGGCAATGTCCACTGGCAACCTACTGAAGGCAGCCCAGGTCTCCCCACAGGCAGAAGCGGGGTTCCAGTGGGGGCTCTTAACTGTGGCTCTTTTGTCATCCTTGCAAGGGGTGGCTCTTAACCCCTATCCAAGGGCCCTAATGAGCCCAAGGGTTTCATGCTGTTTCTTTTAAGCTTGTCATAGAAAAACATTCAGTGGGTACCTGGCCCTCACCATGCGGGGGGTTGATTCTGGGCCTGACCCCAAGCTGAGCTCATCAGGTTATGGCAAATGCTGCCCCACCCTCTCCTGGAGGCTGGTGAGAGATGCTCTGTGCAACTAGTCATTCCTGCTCTGAAGCCACACAGGCCCCTCTGGATACCTGCCTTGGCTCGGGCCCCCCAGGCGAACCCTGGTCTCACTGCCCAGGGCCCAGAGGGTACAGACAATTTCTGCTTGCCTGCTCTGCCAGCCCTCTTGGGTGGGCCCAGGGGTGGAGTGGGGGTTGGTCCTGGTCAGGATTCAGCCTCCACACTAGTCTCTGGGTGTTCCTCTTGCCTTCTTGAAATACCCTCTATGTATTGGCCCAGGTGACCTTGCTCAGACCTGGGGCAGATCATGCCACCCTAGAATAAAGCCCACACTCTCTATCAAAGCTTACTAAGCCCATTCCCTTGCCCTGAACCCTCCCCCATTTCCCCCACCTGTCATAGGGAAGGTCTCTTTGCCCCTGGATGGCAGCTTTCAGATATCACTTCAAAGATGCTCTTCTAGCCCTCCCTCCAGGGTCCTCTTCTCATCTCTCCTCCGACAGTCTCCTTTGTCCTGTTGGTCTGTCTCCTCCCACCAAAACTGAAGCTCTGCAGGGGAAGAGCCTTGTCCTTGTTACTTTCCTATTATACCCAGGGCCCACACAGAAGCCTGTGAATCAACCAGAGAGACTGAGCTAAGGGGGTTGAACCCAAGTCAGAGAGAGATCCCAGAAAGGAGACGGGAGCAAGCCCAAATCGCCCCACTAGCATGGGCTGGTGATTCCCCCAGGAGCCAAGGCAGGCACACTGTCAGCCAGACGCAATCCCCTTCCCAGAGTCAGGAGCCAGGGGTGCAGACCTGCGTACTGCAGGCCTGGCGGCCAGCCTGGGCAAAGGACAGACCCAGCCCCAGGGCAAGCCGTAAGGGCAGAAGGGAAGGAAGGTATGTGTTCAGCCTTCAAAGATGCCAAGGTGACACACCCACCTGTCAGCCTACACACTCAAGTACTCCAGACCAATTAGGTGATGGGGCAGGCTGCACGCAGGCATGTGTCAAACACAGTACCCCAGCCCCACAACACTGCCTGCATCCCAGAGTGATGAGCCAGCGAGGCAGGGACAGACACAGGAACACAGACTGCTTCAGGCCACATGGTCAGGACAGGAGCTGGAGGCGGGACAGGAATGCAGGCCAGGGTCTCTAGCTGGCCTGGGCAGGGATTTTGGGGAGGCCCCAGAACGCTATCAACCCAGAATAGTTGCCTCCAATTCTCCTTCAAGGCCTAGCAGTTCCACGGGGCTCAGCCCTCACTCTAGGGAGGAGAGGTGCCCACAACCCCACCCCCAGAATGCCTGGCTGAGCCAGGGCAACATGCGGAGTGTGTGTGACAAAGCACAGACAAGTCACCCAAAGATCAGCCTTGTAGGAAACAGCGGAGGTGACTCAAGGCAGAGCCAACCCCCTGCTCTTATTCAACAGATTCTGGAAGATGACTGAGAATCCACCTCCCAATCACCCGGCAATAGGCAAAAAAGCCACACAGCCTAGGCATTCCCAGGGAAGAAACAGCCAGTCTCTGGCTGCAGAGCCCTCAGGTACATCAGGCAGTCTGCATTGAGACAACAGCTGACCTGTGGTTCCAACCTCAACTTGGCAGCCACTGCGTGGGGGAAGGCATAGGAACTGTGGTTTTCAAGACTGAATGTCTTTTTTTGCATACATACACACAAATACAGATCACACATTTGTACAGAGGAACTGTCCAGGAGGCTAACATGGAGTTAACAGCTACTGAGAAATGGAATGGAGATGTTCTGTTGAATGAACTGACCAAAAAACCAACTACCACCCTCCTCAGTGGAAAGAGTATAAAGAGGAATTTGGTATCTGTCCTGAGGTCCTGTCACCTTAGGGTGATGTGGGTCCTTCACCAGGGCAAACCCAGGGTGAGCACCAGGATCCTATTGCCCCAGGGAAAGGCCTGCCTCGGGGGTCTCCTCACTTTATTCCAGTAGTACCCACTTACCTGCCCATCAGAGTCATAGCTCCAGTTAGTGGTCCCTGCCAGAGCCATGGCCCGGGCATCTGCATCTCGGTGGGCTGCACTAAGGACAAAATGCCATGCTCTGCTGCTCCGGGGGCGCCTGGCCATGGTGGACAGGATCTGGGGGGAGGGAAAGGGGGGCAGGAAAACAGGTTTTGAGCAAAGAAAATACCCAGCACATTGGAAGGTCTGCAAAAAAACCCCTGCATTTGGCCCTTGGCCAGCCATGCCAGACCACCCTACCCCCTCCATAAAAGGTGGAGGATCTCTTGAGCCATGTGGGTGCTAAGGTGGGGCTCCAGAACTCTCCTCACCAGGTCCTACCTCACTCCAGTGTCCAAGCACCTTGATAAGACATAGGTACAGAGTGTGAAAAGCCATCCAGACGCCCATGACTCTCAAATGCTTCTCAGCCCTGCTCTGAGCACAGCCTAGGGAACCCAGATGGGCAGCCTATATGTCCCTCCAGCATCTCAAATCTCACCTGGCTCCTCCTCCGTTGTCCAGTTTGACAAATGGCATCTCCAACTTCCAAGTTCCTCATGCCAGACTCATAGCTGTCACCCCCACCTACCGGCCTTCTTCCTTCCTCTCATTTCCTGAGGGCCCCCACACACCCCACGTCACCTCCACAGGGCCAGTTCCACCCCGCCCACTTCACTCCCTGAGTCAGGCTGTTTTTGAAACAAATCTTGAACAGTTAAACAAATCTTAAAACTTCTCGGGGCTTACCACTGTTCTTAGAATAAAAGGCAAAAATCCCACAAAACCTATCATGTTCTCCTGCGCTTCTCCAATCTGCAGTGGCCTTGTCCCAGTTGCTATCTCTTCGTTGCCCTTTGCCGGGAATGCCTTCCCCTGCCTTGTTTGGCTCTCAGCTTCCGTATCCGACTTACAGCAACACCTCGATTTCTGTGATTATCTACTGCCTCGCTCTCCCTTGGACTGAAGTCCCCAGGAGGGCAGGCGCTGTCCCGCAGTGAGGACCCCGCCAGGCACAGGCCAGCACTGTTGGTGAATGAGCGTAGGCCCTGCTTTCCAGGATCGGGAGCGCCGTCTGCAGAACCAGATTCCCTCCCTCCAGCAACGCCGCCGCACAGCTTCTTCACCTGCGGGTCGGAGCCACCCCATCGGCCGGCTCCAGTGGGCCAGCCTAGTCAACATCCGCTGTGTCTGCAGCGCCCAGTAGGCGACACGCGATACACGCGGAGTGGCCGGCGTACGAGATTGTCTCCAGCCTGGAAGCAGGAGGACTCTTACTAATTCCAGTTTCGGGCGGCGTTGCGGCTCCTCCCCGCGCTGCGCGTCGGGCCTACCGAGTGGGTCAGACCGCCCCGCCCGCCCCGCCCCAGCTCCGGCCGCAAGAACAAATGCGCGGCTGGGCCCCGCCGCCGGGGTCCCGCAGGGCCCCGATCCCCGCGGCGGGCGGTCGGGGAGGCGCAGACGCGACCCGCTCTCACCTGCACTGCTCCGCTGTCGCCGCCGGCCGTGACCCACTTTCCGCTCCCAAGCGAGACGTAAACAATCCCCGCCCCTGGCATCGCATTGGCCGAAGAGCCACAGGCGGGGGCTCCCGGCCCGGGGCTTTGGTGGACCTCGCGGCCCGCGCCGCTTGCCAGGAGGCTGCTGAACCTGTCAATCTTGACTCGGTATCCTTATTGGTTACATCTCAAGCTGTCGGGGACAACGCCCGCCCAACCCGTGGGACGACGGGCGAGGTGGGGAAGCTGCCCCACCCTCGGGCGTTGACAAGGCAGTGGGTTCATCTCCGGTACGGCGTCCGCGCCGGAACTGCGTACACCCTCTCTGCAATTTGGTTGGTTAGGGCCTATCACTAGAGGGGACGGGCTCGAGCTGCCCATTGGCCCACTGGCACTTTACTCTGGCTGGAGGCGGATGGAGAGAGAAAGAGGAAGCCGACTGAAGGCTTGCAATCGGCAACAGGGATGGAGGTGACGGCGGGTGAGTGTGCGGTCACCTGAGGTAGAGGGAAGAAGTCGCCCCGCATCTGCTGGTCGGGACTCGGTGTGTAGCGAATTTGTAGTGTAGTCTTATTTGCAGTGAAAAGGAGACGCACGTGTACTTATGCGTGTATCGTCCTCAATTTATAAGTTTTCGTGTGACTGCAGCGCTGGTAGGGAACGTGAATACAGGGGTACTCAGGAAAGGGGACGTAGGTGTTTGTCGTTAAAAACACCGTATCTACCGGATTTATGCCATGGTTTTTTTTTTTGATTTGGCGATGCCTCAAGAAAACAGAAAGAAGTTTAAATCCAAGGATTTAAAAAGACACCAGAACGTCACATACTTTTAAATTATTTTGGGGAGTTTTATTCTAGGTTTCTAAACCTTAATACTTGAAAAAAAATGAAAGTTGTGTTGGATGGAATACAAGTGGGTATAATCAGATATGCAGAGATTAACCAAAATGGACTTTTATAATTAGCGGTTTGCCATATTATCTTTTGAAAGACCTCTAGTCTGGTACTTGGGTTGCTAAGCTCGTATATGGTGGATTCATCTATCAGATTGTAAGCATAACACTGAGGGGGGAAAAAAATCTGAAGCAGGTTGTTAGAATAAGGGCAGACTTGCTAAAAGATAAGGACAGCTTCTAGATTGATTAATGTTATTAAAAAGAGCTAGTTGCCTTTTTAACTAGGAGGAAATGCACATAAAAATAAAAAGGCCTAACCAGGTATGCAGGGGGGGAAAAAAAAGTTTGACCAGGAATCCCAGGCATCAGTTACTTGTATCTTTCTAGAAAGAGTCCTTACATACAAAGAATTACAAACTTGTCCAGTGTATCAAGTAATTGGGATTGGATTTAACCTTGGTTGTACTTGGACGAGACTGAGTGGGACTTGTATTCAGGAAAAGGGCTCCTCACTTTCTTGTGAGGGGAGGATGCTTCCAACACAGCCTCTCACAGGTCGTAGGAACTTGGTAGTTTACTTAGGAGTCAAAGGTTCTGTGGTTAACCTCTGAGGATTGTTGTCTGAGAAGCTCGCCTTCCAGTTACCAGATGAGAGGATGAGTGTCCTGTTTGATTCTCAGCTAAAATTTCCCATTCCTACCAGTAAAGAAAGTGAGTCATAGTGATTAGAAGCTTGACTGAATTAACTAAACTACGATCCAGATCTGGCTTTTCTTATGTGTCTACCTAAGCCCTCCCCTCTGTCTCAACAAAAGCAAAATTCATTCCTAAATACCTTTTGATGTTAAAGCAATTAATCTTTTAAATTGCTGGAGGGGTGACCTCAAGCCATGGTGTGGGGCTTCGTGTTTGCAGACAGTGATCCTGGTCGAGGTTGTGTCCTTTCCATGTCACCTTACAAGATATCCCAGCCCCAGGTGCTGGACGCGTATCTAGAAAAAGCATTGGCAAAAAGGAACTGCCCCAAAAGCCAGGGTAGGCACCCTCTGAGTTCTTCCTGGGGAGACTTTGGAGGTGAGGGCCTCTGGACATACCCTTGAGGGGTGGGTCAGGAGGAAGGACTGTATTTCTGTGTTGATTGCTGAGCCCTGTCTGCGTGTGCAGAGGGCAGTGGAGAAAGCAGCTTGTTGGAGGAATGGTGAGGTCCTGAGGGTGCCCGGGGCAAGACACGGGGGTATTGCAGAGGTGCTGAGGGTTGTGTGTATGCAGATGGTAACCACTGCAAGGTGCAGGGATTGGGTTGGCAAATATTTATTTGGGGCTCATTGGTAGGAAGAGAGCTGGGTGAGAGTGCTTGGCTGCCAGCAGGGGTCCACGGAGTTGTTAGGCCCAGGACCTGTGGGAGTCCAAAGAAGGCAGGGACATCCTCTGGTCACCCTTGTGTATCTAGTGTTTCTTAAGGCATGGCTGGCAGCCAGGTGACACCAACATTCACACACATGCATGACTGCAGCTGCTCTAGGTCCCCAGAGGTGTAAGGGTCCCTCCTGAGAACTGGAGTCCAAGGCTGCCTTGAGTGCCTCTCTGACCCCAGATGAGTGGGCTGGACACCAGCAGATCAGACCTGGGTTTTAGGAGCAGGGTGGGAGCTGCCCATGCACAGCGGTGTCTCATGGCCGTAATGAGCCCATTTGCGTTAGTCTCCATCTGTTTCCATTGGAATCAGCTGGGAGCCAGCAGGCTTTGGCTCACTGCATGTGTGCACACCGGAAAGAGGAGCAGTTTGGGGCATTGCAGACAAGAGTGGGAGCAGCAGCATTGGAGGAACCAGTGTGTCGGGTCTGGGCCCTACAGGGAGATGTCCCAGTGAAGCGGCAGGTCTCAGGACTGCCCTCGTCTCAGGACTCGGGACACAGGAGGAGGGACGTGGTTTCCCAGTGAGTGAGCAGTAAAGAGCATCTTTGTAAAGGGCCTCCTCACTTATCCTTCTGCTCAGAGCCTGGAAACTTGGCTGGTGTCCGGCACATCATCCTAATCCTCTCTGGAAAGGGGGGGGTCGGGAAAAGCACCATCTCCACGGAGCTGGCCCTGGCCCTGCGTCACATGGGCAAAAAGGTGAGCACCTCCCACCCTCAACCACAGTACCTGTTCCCTCCTGAGCCACTCCTGCCCCTGCCCCTTGTGTGTGGACATACAGGGAGGCCAGCTGGTTTCTTCCTGCCTTGGGAGACCCCTACACACCATGTGAATGTCCTGGCTCCTTGCAGGTGGGGATCCTCGATGTGGACCTGTGTGGCCCCAGCATCCCCCGCATGCTCCGGGCACAGGGCAAGGCCGTGCACCAGTGTGACAGTGGCTGGGTGCCCGTCTTTGTGGACCAGGAGCAGAATGTCTCCCTCATGTCCGTGGGCTTCCTGCTGGAGAAGCCAGATGAGGCTGTGGTGTGGAGAGGCCCCAAGAAGAATGGTAATGACCAGGCCGGGGACTCCACTGTCAGCCTTCCAGCCTCCCGCAGCTGATCCCTCGATGCTCAATTAGAAAGCCGAGCAAGAGGCTGGTCCTCCCCGCCTCACAGGCCTCCCGCTGCTCGCCTGACCAGTCAGGCCCGGATGCGGTATTCGTGTCCACGTGGCGGGCATGAGCCAGGACAGCAAGATGGCTACGTGGCCATTAGCAGTGGAGTCCCCTTCCCCAGGCAGGAAGGGTAGGTCTGCTCAGACCTGAGCCTGACCTGTGTGTGTTGGGTGTGAGGGGGCGCTAGGCTGGGCTCCTGTGCCTCTGCACCGCCAGGTGGCATTAAGCCCCCTCCAACCGGCACTGAGGCTGCAGGTGTGTCGGATCGGGCGCATGGTGGGCGCTGTTCCACTCATGTCATTTCTCAGGCTGTGAAAGCTGAGGTGTCCACTCGGCATCCCAAGAGGGTCCCGGCTCCAGCTGGCCTTTACTGAGGCCTGAGCAGAAGCCCTGTGGGGTGGGGTGGCCCCTGCTGGGAGGAAGGGGTGCTTGTGGTGGACAGGGCTGGGGGTGCCTCCCCGCTGCACTGTGTTCCCCCTGCTCTGGGTGAGGAGCAGCTTGGAGCCCTCCTGCTCGCTGAGTCTGTACAGATGGCTGTGCCCTGGAGGCTGGGTGGAGACGGTGGGTGTGGAGGACCCCTTTTGAGACCCCTGTCCTGCCTGGGTCTTTGCAGCTCTGATAAAACAGTTTGTATCTGATGTGGCCTGGGGGCAGTTGGACTACCTGGTTGTGGACACGCCTCCAGGGACCTCTGACGAACACATGGCTGCCGTGGATGCCCTCCGCCCCTATAGCCCTCTGGGGGCTGTCGTGGTCACTACACCCCAGGTACTGCAGAGTATCATCCTCTTTTCTGTGTGCCACCTCACCAGGGTAGGCACCTTTCCCTGCTCTTCACACTCATCTTGGTTACTGCTCAGGATCCCCACTGGCTTGTCCCTGTTCTTCCCTGGTTGCTAGGCGGTGTCAGTGGGGGATGTGAGGCGGGAACTGACATTCTGTAGGAAGACAGGGCTGCGGGTGATTGGCATTGTGGAGAACATGAGCGGCTTCGTCTGTCCACACTGCACAGTAAGTTGTGGAAAATTGTGGGGCAGTGACCCACGGGGGGTGGGGAGTGGGGGGTGAGCCTGGGGTGAAGAGGACACTGCACCGCAGCTCCCCATTCTGCTCCCTGGGCCCGGGCCGCACTCCCCAAGTGTGAAGAATCCTCAGGTGGACCCTGCGCCCCTCTCTTAGGAGTGCACCAACGTCTTCTCCAGGGGAGGCGGCGAGGAGCTGGCCAGACACGCGGGAGTCCCCTACCTAGGTGAGAAGGTCGGGGCTGCCCCTTGGCCTCTGCTTCAGGTGGTCCCACCTGCCTATGCCTGCACTGCCCAAGAAAGGGAAAGATAAGAACAACAATGTCCACTTGTCTTCCTTGAGTTCTGGGTATCAGTTCCTCTTTAATGCCAGTCCGAGCTGACCAACTGGAAAGAAACGGCCTGAGGAGAAGGCAGGCCTCCCCAGGCTTTGAGTGGGCCCACAGCTGATGGCCGCTGAGACCCCATAGGAAGCAGAAGGACGGCTGCAGCTCTGGCTCTGGGAACGCCTCTGTGGGCGTGGCCATGTGTTCCTGGTGCTTGCCTTGCACTTTCCGCAAGTGGACAGAGTTCAAGGTGGCAGAACTGGGCCTGCTGGGTGGGCGAGTGCCTGTTCAGGTAGAAATGGAGCCCAAGGGCCCTTGCAGGCACCTCAGCAAGAGTGAGGCTGATGGGTGTCCAATCTGGGCTAAAGCAGCACTGACAGCGGCTCCCAGGCAGTGGGAGGTGTAGGGACATGGCCTCCCAGGCCTCGCTCTCACCGCCTTGCCCCTTCCCGGGCCCCCTTCCCTCTGTCTTCACAGGCTCTGTGCCTTTGGACCCTGAGCTCACGAGGTGCCTGGAGGAGGGCCGAGACTTCATCCAGGAGTTCCCTCAGAGCCCTGCCTTTCACGCACTCTCCGCCATAGCCCAGAAGATTTTGAAGGAGACACCTGCTCAGCTCTCCTGACTGAGACGTCTCCTCCTGGTGCCACTGTGGGGCTCAAGCTCACAGACTCGAACCTGGGTCCGGGGTGTGGTTCCTGGAACCTACAGAGCTGGCCCATGGGGCTGTGCACCTCTCCCTGCCTGGGCCCTTTGGAGACTTTTCAGCACTTCGGCAGCATTTGGGCGCCAGAGCTGCTGACAATGAATGGTTCTGCTGGGTTGGTCTGTGGCAAGCCCCAGGGGACAGCGTGAGGTCCTAGTGCCATCACATTAGCTCTGGTGCCTGCACACACTCTCTTCATGTTGTATTCATGTGCCCCAGACTGACAGGCCGCACCTGATCCCCAAGTCTCCACACTGCCCACAAAGCTTGTGGGTCTAGAAGCCGGCAGGAACTTTGTCGTCCTCAGATACTTTGCTGCTGGCAGGGCTGTGAGCGACCATGATGGTGGTCGTGGACCATGATGGTGGGAGCACCCTGTGAGGTATTAACCTCAGAGGTGCTCACAATTAAATGTGTACCACCACCACGGTTACAGGTCTGGCATTTCTAGGTCATTCCACTTCGGTCCTGCCTCTGCTTTAGTGTATGGCTGTGTCCTATAGCGACAGTGTTCACTCTCAGTCCCGGGGCTGGGTCAGTAGTTCAGTTGTCAGCAGGCCCCTGAAGACGAGGGTGAGGATGTGTTTGAATGGAGTTTGCAGAGGAACCTGTCATGCCAGAGAATTGTGTGCGCGGGGGCTTCGGCCAGCCAGTAGTGCCAACTACAGCCCTACCCTCCACACTGCGGGGGCCTGGGGACAGAGCTAAGAACAGAAGGGGTGCGTGTGAAACGCGGTCAGTTCCGCGGCTCTTCTGTACCTTCCCCAGGGAGGCAGGAGAGAAGACCGTCTGGAAAGCCAAGTCAGTGGCAGGAGTGCCCCTCCTTCCAGGGGAAGAAGGGCTGTCGGCAGATAGGGTGTGGCCGCCCTGGGATGGCAATGGCAGGGGGGTCTGGGGGGGCAACCCCGGGTACCACTTCCTGGGGGTGTCGGGGTGCTGAGGGTGAGGGGATTGTGCCAAGAGGAGGAAAGTGCAGGGAGATGGAAGCAACATTAAGGGCTTTGGCCAGGAGGAGGTTCTGGAGGGGGGACTGCACCCACTCTGGCCCTGGTTGACACTAACTGCTGGGCCTCCTGGAGAAGAGGCTGCCTCAGAGAACCCGAGTCAGTGCCCTCTGCGCTCAGGTGGAGGCGGGCACCCTGGGAGGACCCGGGGTGGGTGGGCATGAAGAGGGTCCAAGCACAGGGAGGGAAGAAGAAGGGTGAGGGGCTGAGGCAGCCACGGGGTGGGCTGAGCTGACATCAGGAGAGGGTTCCACAGGCGCACAGGCTGATGCTTTACTCCCCTCCCCCAGCTTTCATCCCTGTGGTCACAGGCAGTGTTTATAAGATTGCTTTTAATGGATGACAGCTGGGGAGGGTTGTGCCCCCACCCCTCCTGATCTGGCCTTCAGGGACCAGGTCAGCACCCACAGGTCCTGAGCCCTTGGCCAGCAAAACCCCTGGGACTGTGTGTTCCCTGGGGGAGAGACCCCCCCACAAGTGAGCAGTGTGGGCCCTGGGAGCTGAGGGGTGGAGTGCCCACCAGGCTCCAGGGATGGCGAGGGCTCATTCCGACTCCACGGCTGCATCTGGCCTGGACAAGCCTCGATCAGCAGTGAGCAAAGTGGTCCTCACCAATGTCACGTAGGTCAAGTCCCGAGATGCCAGGAGGGCTGGCACAGGTGATGTTGTTGTAGGTATACACAGGTGGCTGGCGATCGTCCCCTTCTGGGACGGCCTGGACAAAACGGGGTACCACAGTGGGGTGCTGCAGGGCAAAGGCCCTCAGGGCCCGGAGGGGGCAGCCACAATGCCAGGGGTTGCCTTCCAGCCATAGGCGCTCCAGGCCAGGGGCCTGTGGCACAAAGGTCCGCAAGGAGTTGTTTCTGAGGCTGAGGTAGCGTAGCCGCCCCAGTGGCGAAAGGATGCTCTCCGGCAGGACCTCCAGGTGGTTGTACGAGATGTCCAGCCAGAAGGTGCGCTGCAGGGGCCTCAGGATTTCTGCTGACAGTGCCGACAGCCTGTTGTGGGACAGGAGCAAGTACTCCAGCTTGCTGAGGCCCTGGAAGAGCTGACTGGGCAGCTGCATGAGCTGGTTGGAAGTGAGGTCCAGTTCCAGGAGCTCGGGGAGCCCCCACAGGCTCTGCTCCTCGATGGCCGTGATGCCGTTGTTCTTGAGGAAGAGCCGGCGCAGCCCCGAGAGGCCAGTGAAGGTATGCTGACGGATGCGGCCCAGGCAGCTGCCCTCCAGGTGCAGGCTGTGCAGCTTAGCCAGGCCCTGGAACACTTTCACTGGAAGGTTCCGCAGGCAGTTGCCGGAGAGATTCATGACAGCCACATTCAAGAGGCCGAGGAAGGCGCCCGCCTTGACCTCCTGGATCTGGTTGTCATTGAGTGTGAGCACCTCCAGCTGGCCCAAGCCCTCAAAGGCCTTGTCTGGCAGCTGCTGGAGGCGGTTGTGGCCCAGCCGCAGCTCCTCCAGGAAGTGCAGGTCCTTGAAGGTCCGGGGTCGCAGGCTGGTGATGGCGTTGTGTGAGAGGCGCAGGACATGCAGGCCCAGCAGGCCTGGGAAGGTGTCCTCCTGGAGGCCACTCACACGGTTATGTGACAGATCCAGCCAGCGCAGGGCTTTCAGGCCCAGGAAAGCGCCCGGGGCCACGGCAGCAATAAGGTTGTGGTCCAGGTAGAGCTTCTGGAGTTTGGGCAGCTTGACAAAGATGTTGGCTTTGATGCTTCGCAAAGCATTCCTGCTCAAGTCCAGCTCCCGAAGCTCTCCAAGGCCATAGAAGAGAGGAGGTTGCAGGTAAGCCAGCTTGTTGCCTGCAAGTACCAGCTCACGCAGGTTGGCCAGACCCTGGAACACAGTGTCAGGAAGCACGGCCAGGCTGTTCCAGCCAAGATTGAGGTCCCAGAGATTGGCTAGGCCCTGGAAGAGTCCTTCATCCACCCTGCTGAGGAGGTTGTTGTTGAGGCCAAGTGAGGCGAGACCCGGTGTGTGCAGGAAGGTGCGGGCTGCAAGGCTGCGCAACTGGTTCCGCTCCAGGTGCAGATGGTACAGGTTCTGCAGGCCCAGCAGCGCCTTTGACTCCAGGCTGGCCAGCCCACTGCCCTGCAGATTGAGGAAGCCCAGGCCAGAGAAGTTCTGGAAGGCTGCCTCGGGGATGGAGGAGAAATTATTGCCATCCAGCCACAGGGCCCTGGTGCCGTCTGGGATGCCATCAGGCAGCTGTGTAAGGTTCCGGGAGCTGCAGAAGACGCTGAGCTCATCCGTGTAGTCATCGTGGCCGCAGGTGCAGACGGCCGGGCACTGCAGGCCCTCGGTGTCCCCTGGCACTTCGTGCTCCACTCCCTCCAGGCCACAGGGGCCTAGTGCTGCCCAGGAGACCAGCAACACCACCAGGGTCAGGCCTCCTGCAGGGAGAGGAGCTTGGGGAGAGGCGGCACTGAGGGGTTCAGGATGCGAACCCCTGTGCGAGTGAGGCAAAGGACGCTTATGGGCCTCAGCCCGTACGTGTGGGCCACCATTTAACTTAACACCTGGCCCACAGCAAGCCACTATAAAGAGAGGCACTGCTGGTTGAACTGGAGAAAGTTGAGACATGCGGTCACCCCACTTAGAAGCAAAAGGCAGGCAAATCAACTGGGATGTTCTCTGGCTCAAAACCATCACAGGATTAACAAGGTAGTGACATCTGTTCCAGAACAAACTGAGGACCGGGCACCTGGCAGTTAGGCCATGTGTTCATTTGTATCCCCAAGGCGGGACACTCAAGCCAGGCCAGGCTGCATCTGGGCCTGGAGGGAGGCATGAGCAAGAGAATATTCTGGAGCCGACCTGGGTGGGTGTGCACTTGTTGCCTTTGGGGGCTGGATGGACACGTTCAGCCTGCACCCAGGTACTTGGCCCAGCACCACTGTGGGGAGAGGAACAGTGCAGGCCTTGGTGGCAGGCAGGGACCCAAGACTGTCAACTCACAAGGGTCAGGTTTTGTCTCTGGACAAAGGGCGCCAAGCCACCCAGCCACAATGCCCCAGAAACGCTGCTGGGCACCGGGCTGCCCCCCACATTGGCCCATCCCTGTCCTTGGAGAGCTCGGGGTGTGACAGGCAGCAGTGGAGAGTGTCCTATATCCAGGTAGATGGGGCTAGGCCCTGAGATGGCACAAGATGGCAGTGGCTTGGCTTCCAAGTGGCTGAGAGGGCAGCAGGCCCTCGCCCAGCAGAGGATCCAGAGCGTGGCCCCAGGTGAGGGTGTAAGGAGACACCCACCCTTCCTCCCTTGTGTTGTCCTGGGCCCCTGGGCAGGGAGAGGAAAACGAGACCCTCTGGGGCCAGGCGCAGCTGCACCCTCCAACACCCCTGCAGTCCCATTCCCCCCAGGGGCTCCCAAAAGTTCAGGCTTTCCCAGAGCTGAGCCATCCCTGGGGGCTGCAGGGCCCCAGTGGGCTTGGGGACACAGGGAGCCTCACCTTTCCTCAGGGCCATCCCGCATGCAAAACAGGCAGCAGGTCTGCTGGGGGCTGGCTCTTCCTGCCCTCTGGATTTCCCCACCTCCAGGGCAGCCAGCACCCTGTCACAGGCCAACCCTTCCCCACTACCCTGGGCTCCATTAACCCCCTCCTGTCTGGTGGCCAGGTGCCCTGGGTGTAGATGGCACAGAGGGGAGGCTGGGAGCCGCATCCACCGTGAATCCACCCTCAGGGTCCAAGGTGGGCCATGGTGCAGCTCTGAGAGGCAGCAGGGCCCTGCTCTGGCTGCACCGCCTCCTTCCCGCCCAGGCAGACAGAGTTGGGCCGGCAGGCAGGTGGGGGGTGGGGGATGGGGGCGCCCATTGGAGCAGCCTGTGAGGGGCTGGTGCTTGGCTGGTTTGGAGAATCCCGGAGAGGAGGCCCCATGCTCAGCTACCCTGGCCACGGATGGGCCTCCTTGGGCAGCACCTGGGGCCCCTCCACTGAGCAGATGGCCGTTTGAGGGTTAAGCAGGAACCACCACATTTCCCAATGGGCCTGCCCATCTGCCCTGGCATGCTGACCACCCCCTTCCCATTTCCTAACAGCCTGGGTGGGGTCGCCCAGCCCAGCCTTGGCTTTTTCTGTGACCTCAGGGTCAGCTGGTGTCTGGCTACTGCCCCTCCCCCACTCTCCTAAAAATGCCTGGCAGAGCCCAGCCACCTTGTGTTTGCTTTGAACAGGCAGGCACTACTTTCCCTGGAGGAGAATGGGGCTGGCCTGGCCTTGGGAGCAGCCTCTGCCTGCTGGGAGCCTCTAGGGCTGTCCTGTAAGGCTCCTGTGGGGACACGACCACCCCCTTCCATACATAGGCTGCTGGGATGTGTGCCCAGTGCCTGGCCTGAGGTCAGCCCCAGGTCAGGAGATAGAAGAAGGTGACGGCTGGCAAGGCTGTTGGAACCAAGGGAGTCCCACCACGCCCTTATCCGCCAGCCCCCGTCTCTCAAGGAACAATCTGGGGGACCCTTCGTCTGGCCGTCAGCTGCACCTATCCACCGGGGTCCCTCACTGCCTCGGTTGGTGGGCCTGTGTTTGGAAAGGACTAGAGAAGGCACAGCTGGGTCTGGGGAGAGCAAGGCTCGTTGAAGTTTCAGGGACTCTCAAATGGAACAGGTCTGCGTCCAACTGGATGGACAGTGGAGAGAGGAAGAGGTGAGGCAGGCGCAAGCTATCGGAATAGACCCCTGTGGGCTCTGAAAGCTCTGCCTGGCCGCTGGGTTGGCTACTCACTGGGCCCAGGGGCTGGAACCCTCACCCTACCCCTCCCCTGCCTCACCAGTGGTAGGGTAAGGGGAGGCGGCTTTATCTCCCTCCCTTTATTGAGCTTTGATATTTTTCCAGGTCGGCTCTCAGCTTCTGAGAAATTATAGATCTGCCAGGGAGAAAGTCCACACCCAGAAATTTACAGAGTAAACACACATTTACACAGTAGAAAGTGCAGACTCAGCAGGAGCTCTGGGGCCTGTGGGGCCTCTTCTGGAAGGTTCCCCTCATGGATGGCCCTCTGTGCTGGAGAATGAGGCTGGAGCAGGGTGCGTGTAGGTAGGCGCGGAAAGGAGGGTTAGTGGTCCTGTCATTGAGCATTTGAGGGTTGGGACAGGGAATTCCTGTGACTCCCAGTCGAGCTTGTGTGTCTGGGAGACCTTCACAGGATTTTGGCAGCTGAGTTGGGCATTTAAAAATCTTCCTCGAGTTCAGCAGTAACATCAGTGCTCCATATTCTGAAGAGAACAACTCTGCCACCACTGCCTGGGTAGCTCTGGTGCCTGCTCCCCGCTGGTGGCTTGACTGGTCACTGCCCAGCCTCTTTCTAGTTGACCAGCTGAGGGTCTCCCTGAGGAGTTCTGGTTTGTCTGTTTTGATCTTCCTGTAAATGGTGGTACACAGAAGCACTGGGTCTGGCTGCTTGTCAACACAAGTGTGAGGTCTAGGAGATTAGCCAAATCTGGCTAGAAACAGCTGTCCCTGTGTTCTCATTTGGGGACAGCTGTTTCTAGCTAGATCTGATGCATTTATCCACCTGCCTAGGGACATCAGGACATTTCCAACTGTCAGTGCTGCTGTGAGGCTTTCGCGCCTGTGTCTCCTGGGGGCAGAGATACATTTCTGTTGGTCCTGAATGGGTGTGTCTTAGCAAGTGAGGCCAACCCTTGCTGGGTACATAGGGGGCCACACCCTGCTGGGGCACCAGAGGCATCCTTGACACCATATGCTGCTCTGCCTGTTCTTATCCTGGAGGGGAGTAGACAGTGGGTTTCCTTGTTCTGTGTCTTCTCCATCACCAACTGGACGGCAGCTCCTCAGAGGCTCACTGGCTGGTCCATTGTCCTGTCCTGTAAAGTGCATTTTTCAATTTGGTTATCTGTCAAGTCTGACTTATAAGATAAGCCATTTGTCAGGTGTGTGGGGCCCATGTTTTCTGCTCTGCAGTTTGCCTATTTTGTGCTCTTTATCGTGGTTGTGGCAAGAGTTCTTAATGTAGTGTCATAAGATATTCCTTAAGTGTTACATATTGAACTTGATTTCTCAAATACCACATTAGCCAAAAAGTTGGTTTTGTTTTTTCCATCCGATGGCTCTAGTAATGCTTAGTTGTCTATAACTTCATTTGAAGCATTTGTTAGATTGTATTGTGTCAGCTGTCATATCAGTGTGCATTTTTAAAAAAACATCAAAATTGGTGAATTTTTGTACAGCCATTTTAAAATTGAAGAAGATATGCAACATTTTTGGTGTATTATGCTTTATTATTTCAAGAAAGGACAAAATGCAACTGAAATGCAAAAAGAGACTTGTGCAGTATATGGAGAAGGTGCTGTGACTGACTGAACGTCTCAAAAGTGGTTTATTAAGTTTCTTGGTACTATTGATATTTTGGCCAAATAATTCTTTGCTGTGGGGCTGTCTTACGTGCTGGAAGATGTTTAGAGCACCCCTGGCCTCTACCCACTAGGAGTCAATAGTGGGAGATAGCCAACACACTCAAAATATCCAAATCAATGAAGTTATTGCTAAAAATGAAAAATGTATCTTTTATGGAAAAAAATAAACAGACTTTTTGGCCAATCCAATACCAATAGTAAAGACAGAAAAAATCAGCCCTGGCTGGTGTGGCTCAGGGGATTGAGCACCAGCCTATGAAACCGAAAGGTCGCTGGTTTGATTCCCAGTAAGGGCACCTGCCTAGGTTGGAGGCCAGGTCCCCAGTCAGGGGTGTGCAAGAGGCAACTGATCCATGTTTCTCTCCCTCCCTCCCTCTCGCTAAAAAAAAAGTAAAAAAACAACAAAAAGAGATGGAAAAAATACAAAAAGGTTTTTCTTATGTAGTCCAATTTACCAAACTACGGTTTCAAGTCCTGTTTGGCACTTGACTTTAATTTCTCCTTGATAGATTCTTAGGAGTGGATTGCTGAGTCATGTAAAGTTTAAGTCTAATTTTAAAAACAAACAAACAAACAAACAATTTTCCACTCAGTGGCACCCACTGAGCAGATGGACTCCTCTCGTTTGTGCACCTTGCTCAGCTTCCTCTGCAACCATGTCTGACAAATCTGATATGGCTGAGATTGAGAAACTCAGTAAGTCGAAATTGAAGAATACAGAAACACAAGAGAAAAATCCACTACCTTCAGAAGAAGTGATTGAACCAGAGAAGCAGGCAAGCAAATTTTAATGACACACTACTAGGATGCACTGTACAAGCGTTGCTTTATTTCTTTTAGCTGTTTAACTTTGTAAGATACAAAAAGGGTAGATCAGTTTAAATGACTGTGCTGCCCCTTTTCACATCAGAGTACTACTAACAATGAAGGCCGCACCTGCCTCTCCCATCCACCTCTCCGGCTGGCAGGGAAGGAAAAGAACTTGCATGTTGGTGAAGGAAGAAGCGGGGTGGGACAACAGTGAAATGTAGTCCAAGTTGGTCCAGGGTGTCCTGCAGGCTGTAAAATGCTGTTTAATCAGAGTGCCATTTTTTTTTTTTGTTCAAATGATTTTAATTATTGGAATGCACAATTTTTTAAATATGCAAATAAAGTTTTAAACCTGAAAAAAATTAAACTTTTCCAAAGTGACTATAATATTACAAAGTATAAGACTCCAGTTGTTCACATCCTCACCAACTGGTATGGTCAGTCTTTTTTTCAATTTTTAGCTATTCTAATTTTAATTGTGTTTTCTCTGACAATGTTGGGCCCTTTTCAAATGTTTATTGGCCATTCTTATACTTTCTCTGGTGAAAAGAAAACATGTCTGTCTGTTCAAGTATTCTGCCCATTTTTTAAAGAATTTGTTGATTAGAGAGAGAGAGAAAGAAACATCGACCTGCTGCTCCACTCATCCATGCATTTATTGGTTGATCCCTGCAAGTGCCCCAACTGGGACCGAATCCTCAACCCTGATGCTCCAACTGAGTACCTGGCCAGAGCTCTTCTGCCCATTTTTAAAGATTTTATCTATTTTTAGAAAGAGGGGAAGGGAGGGAGAAAGAGACGGAGAGAAACACGGATGTGTGAGATACAGAGATCGGTTGCCTCTCACAAGCCCCCAACCGGGGACCTGGCCTGCGACCCAGGCATGTGCCCTGACTCACAGGCCGGCACTCGGCCCACTGAACCACACCAGCCATGGCAAAATGCTGTCTTTCAAGGTGCAAGTTTTTAACTTTAATGAAGTCCAATTTATCAATTTTTTTCTCCTTTATCCAAAAGTGGATCACACTTTTGGAGTTGTGCCTTAGAAACAATACCTAACCCAAGATGACAAAAAAGTTTTCCTGTTTTCCTCTAAAAGCTTGATTACTTTTAGGTTTCACATTTAGGTCTATGGTCCAATTCGGGTTATGTGTGTAGTGTGAGTTAAGGGTCTAGGTTCCTTTTTTACATACAGATACCCAACTGTCCCTACACCATTTGTTGAAAAGACTATCATTTACCCTACTGAAATGTCTTTGCATCTTTGTTGAAATCAGTTGACCATAAATATAAGGGTTTATTTCTAGACTCTCAATTCCATTAAACTACGTGCTTATTATCCTTGCACAAATATATTTTATTACTGTTGCTTTATAGTAAGTTAAAAATTTTTTTTATCCTCACCCCAGGACATTTTTCCATTGCTTTTAGAGAAAGAGGAGGGGAAAGAGGGAAACATCAATGGGAGAAACATCAATTGTTAGCCTCGGGTACATGCCCCAACCAGGGATCAAACCCACAGCCTAGGCATGTGCCTGTTGGGAAACGCCCTGTCTGGTTTCAGGAACTGTAACCCCGCCGATAGGCAGGAGGGCCCCAAGGCTGGAAATCATCAGGGAGGCCTTAGAAAAACAGGCCCCTGAGGAGACAAAACCTGTCCTCCTGGCAGGGGCAGTGTCCCTGCCCCTCCTCGCATCACCCTGCTTGGCTCTGTGATGGTCACTTGTTGATGATGGGTAAGTTTTTCCCATGCAGAGAAAACAACCTAAGACAGACATCGGTCGGCACGGGCAGCAGACATGGGCATGGGGGGACACAGAGAAAGGGCAAAAAAGCCCGCACCCCTTGGCTCGGCTTGGACATGGCCGGAGTCCTCATTCTATCTGAAAGCAGTCTCCTTGTCCCTTGGCGGCTCCCTCCCCCGACCTGGCTCAGGCTTGAAACAATACCGGAGACAGCTCTAAACTAGATCTGGCGGTTCCCAGGGAAATCAAGCCTAGAAGTAAATTCTTTAAAGTGTGCTTTGTTTTTCCCTCAAAAGATACAATAGCCAGCTCATGCTGGGAAAGAAAGTTACATTATTCACAGACCCTAACCCTTTGGTGCTTTCATGTTTACTACGCTCTCATGTTTAGTTGCTTGTTTACTAGCCTCCTCTCGGACCCACTGTGTTCCTGCCATTTTTTTCCTTCAAAACATCACCCAGTCTCTGTGAACATTAACACAGACGTAATGAGATAACCTGTGCATTCCTGTTGCCCAGCTCCACTGATAACCCTTTCAATAAAAGCCTTTGGACAAAGTGGCTTGGGGCCTTCCCCACTAAGAAGGATGTGCCATGTCCTCTCTCCAGGCAAACAGAGAAGTGTTTGTAACGACTGGTGTTTATACCCCCCATCAGTGACAACCCCGGGACAGGATCTCCGGGATTCAGAGTCCGTGGTCCCATCTCAGCTGGCCCCGGACAGTAACCCTCAGATCCCAGAGCGCTGTGCTCCCGACACGCTCCCTCTCCCGCGGCAGTTGTTGTCCAGACCAGGGATGAGCAGTGACCAGCAGCGCTCCCCCATGCACCACACAGCATGTGCCCTGACTGGGAACTGAACCCACAACCTTTCGGTTGCAACACTCTAACCAACTGAGCCACGCCAGCCAGGGCTATAGTAAGTTTTGAAATTAGGCAATATAAGTCCTCCAACTTTGCTCTTTTTCAAGATAGTTTTGGCTCTTGTATGTCCTTTGTATTTTCATGTAAATTTCAGGATCAGCTTGTTGCTTTCTCCCAAGATCCTGCTGGGATTTTGATAGGGATTGCATTGGATCTAAAGATCAATTTGGGGAGAGGGTAACTTTTTAAAAAATTTTGTAAAAAATATTTTTAAAATATATAATCTTTATATTTTTTCCATTACTATTTAGTCCCCTTATACTCCGCTCCCCCCAGAAATCACCACACTGTTGTCCATGCGTCCTTCTTCCTTCTCTGGATCCCTGTACCCTGTAACCTCCCCCTCCCAATAGCTGTCATCCGTTCTCTATGAGCCTGTCTCTGTTTTGCCTGTTAGTTAAGTTCCTTCATTAGATTCCACATATGAGTGAAATCACATGGTATCTGTCTTTCTCTGGCTTATTTCACTTAGCATAATGTTCTCCGGGTCCATCCATGCTGTTACAAAGTGTAAAATTTTCTTCATTTTTACAACTGAGTAGAATTCCATTGTGTAAATGTTCCATAGTTGTTTTATCCACTCATGTATGGATGGACACTTGGGCTGCTTTCATATCTTGGCGATTATAAATAGCACTGCAATGAACATACGGGTGCTTTTGTTTTTTACTTTTTTATTGAAAAATTTTTAAGAAGATGTTATTTTTAGAAAAAGGGAAAGGGAGGAAAAAAGGGAGAGAAAAAGAAAGGGAAAAAAAACACGGACTGGTTGCCTCTCCTACATGCCCTGAGTGGGGACCGAACCCTAGGCGCCCTGAATGGGGACGGAACCTGCAACCCAGTCAAGTGTCCTGACCGGAAATCAAACTGGCAACCTTTCACTTTGTGAAAAAATGCCCAACCAGCTGGGCCACATAGGGCGAAATTTATTGGGGTGACATTAATAAAATTATATAGCTTTCAGGTGTACGATTCTATAAAACATTATCTGTATATTGTGAAAATTGACATCTTAACAATAGTCTTTTAAGTCATGGAATACCTTCCCATTTACTTACATCTTTAATTCCCCTTACCAGTTTTTTACAGTTTTCAGTGTATAAATCTTACACTATTTTTGATAAATTCCTCAGTATTAGTTTATCATACTACTATGAATAGAATTGTTTTCTTAATTTCATTTTTGGCTCATTATAAAAATAAAATGGATTTTTCTTTATTAATCTTGTATCCTAGGACCTTGCTAAATTTACTAGTTCCAGGTATGTGTGTGTATCTGAATTCCTTAGAATTAGCTAAATGTAGGATCAGGACATTTTTAAAAAATTGACTTTAAAGAGAGGAAGTGGGAGAGAGAAACACCGACTTATTGTTCCACTTATTTATGCATTCATTAGTTTCTTCTTGTATGTGCCCTAACTAGGAATCGAACCCACAACCTTATGTACTGGAATGATGCTCTAACCAACTGAGCTACCTGGCCACAGCGAAGGACATTTTTACTTCTTCCAATATGTCTACTATCTTTTTCTTTTTTGTGTGTGCCTTATTGCATAGCCAGTAGTGTTAAGTAGAAGTAGCAGGAGAAGACCAGACATTCTTGCCTTGTTCCTGATTTTATAGGTAAGCATTCAGTCATTCACCATGAATTATGATGTTAGCTGATGGTTTTCATAGATGCTGTGACAGGCAGTATGTTCCCAACCAAAGATATCCATGACGTTATCCCTGGAATTGTGAATATGTCAAGTTACATAGCAAAGGGGAATTAAGATCAGTAATCAGCTGACCTTAAAATAGTAAGATTCAATGGATTTTCCAAGTGGACTCTGTAATTACAAGGGTACTTAGAAGTGGAAGACAGGGTCAGAAGAGGTCCTCCTCTTCTGGAGGAGTGTTCCCTCCTCTTATTTTGTGGCTTAAGATATGGTCCATCCTGGAAAATGTTTCATAGGTACCTGAAAAGAATATAAGTCGAATGTTCTATGAATAAGTAGGTTCATTTGAGTGATAGTGTTCAATCTTCTTTATTTTTGCTGACGTTCTGTCTAGTTGTCCTAAAATCTCCACTTATGATTGCTCCATTACCTTCTTTTCCTTTCAGTTTCTAAGATTCTTTTTCTACATCAATTGCCCTACCACCCCGCCCATGAAACCAGACGTGAGGTGCTTGTTGCTGAAACAGAGGAATGTTATAACAAAAATCATAGAGAAAAGAGAAATTATTGGTTGTAGAGCTTACGTCAAGGTGATGGCCTAAGAATATTTGCTGACAAACAGAAAGAATGGAAAAACTCTGAGCTAGGGTTCCAGGTAGAGAGTGAAAGGAGACTAAGGACCTGGTCCCCAGTGTCCTGCCTCCTCAGTCCCTTTCCCCCACAAACTCGCCTGGCCTCAGTGGAATCCTGGATGGGTGTGGGGGTCTGTGTTCAGAGGTTCAAGCAGACAAAGGTGTGCGGGAGGAATGTGTGTATCCTGGGGCCTTTCTCTCAGGGTCTATCTAGGGTCCCTTGACCAGGCTCCCTGCACCCATGGAGATCCACTTTTTTCCCAGGCCTCTCTGCTGTCCCGACTCAGAACCAGTCATCCATAGAAGTGGGGGGACCGGGAGAGGCCTCTCCTTTTACAGTCTCACTCATAGATTAATGTAATGATTACAAGTTTCAGATTACTAGGCAGAGGAGGGGGCTGCACAACATTGTGAATATACTAAATGCCTCTGAACTGTATATGTTTAAATAGCTAACTGTATGTTGTATGACTCTTATCTCAATTTAAATAAATAAAAGTAATTCTAAAAGGTTCTTATTAGTAAAACACAGTCACTACTAAATCCTAAGCAATTTTATACCCAGAGAGAAATGTACCATACTGGGACTAGAACATGATACACAGCACATCAGCGAGGTAACTGTCAAAGAAATAGTAAGGACCTGGTCAGGCCAGTGTGCCGGCCCGCTGGGTGTGAGACCACCATTCAGTGGGCAGGTCCCAGAGGCATCCGTAAAGGGTCACACTAAATGCACAGGGACATGGCTTGGTGAGAGATGGCGCTCGTATCCAGGGAAACAGGTGACAGACCAGTTGGGAAATACTTTAAAATAAAAATCCTCAAAAGGAAGAGGGAGGACACTGTGATGAGTCATCGGTAACAAGGGCTCTGTTTATATTTGATAGAATAACTTCAGTCCACCTCAGACCCCTGTGCATATGTCAGAGAAGAAATAAAAATGAGACGTCATGAAAGTTCTATGCAGCCACATGTGTCATGCCTGACACTGGACACCTGAGGGGCATTTTTAGCTTTCTGCTCCTACTGGGAAAGAGGAGAGATTCCCCAAGTAGTTGAGAAAGCAGGAGCCTGAAGCAAGAGGACAAACAGCAAAGAAGGACTCTGTTTAGAAGGAGAGGGAATCCAGGCGCTCATGTTACAGACCCAAGGACATTGCGAACACGATTTGTAAATATAGGGGGGGGGGAAACAACTTATCAAAAGCAGCAGCAGAAGAGAAGTAGTCCTTAAGCCATTAAAATGCCCACAAAAGAAAACACCAGACTCAGCCTAGAATTACCTTCTACAAACTCTTGAAGAAGTGAAGAAACATTGCATGTTACTTTATCATTTACCAAAACTAGACAGATTGCATGAGAAAGGAACCAGCCAATCAAACCAGCAGCTGACGTTCTGGTGAAATGGAATTTAGCCCAAGACTATGGTATGACGACTTAGCATTGAAAACCGTTCCCATGATTCATCAGACCAAAGGAGAATGGTCAACTTTGCAGGAAAATTATGTGATAAGATCCAGTTCCCATTTGGGATGGCTTCTCTCAAAGAAGAAAAAGAAAGGGACGTGCTCAATGTAGTAACAGCTACTCAGCCTAACAGCCAAACTTGAGGGGACGAGCGGCCTTCTGTGCCCCTGCCAAACCTGCCACTTCCTCTTGGCAACACCACTCCTCTTGTTTTCCTCCACCTAATGGGCTCCGCGTTGGTTCTAGACCTATGACATTTTGACTTCACTCTTGCATGACAGCACCCATCTCCTGGCTTTAGGACTCACCCACAGGCTGGTGACTCCTTCATGTGCATTTCCAGGCTGGGCCTTGCCCTGAACTTCCTCTGCCTACCCAGGTGTTTCAAAGGCATTTCAAACTCGATCTGTCCAAACCCAACCCCACACATCTCCAGTAAGTAAATGGACATGGGGTCCCCTTAACTCAGCACTCACGGCTCAGATCCAAGCTGGGAGTGGCCTTTGCCTACACCTCAGCTCGCACTGGGGACCTGCCACCTCTCCTACTTCTCCCCGGCCCTCCCCAGGCTACCACCCCAGCTGCCTCTCCAGCAACCTGCCGTGACATTTAGGGAAATCCTACTTAGGGTCAGCTCTGGCCGGCCTCTGCACATGTCAGAACAGATGCCGAGGTCCTCACATGACCTATGCGCTGACCCACCCCGCTTCCCTCGCTGCCCTCACAGGCTTGCTCTTCTGCAGACATACCTCAGCGACTCTGCACTTGCTTTTCTTTCTCAGATATCCAGGCAGTTTGCTCCCTCAATCCCCTCAATTTTTACTCTGTCACCTCCTCAGTGAGGTCTCCCCTTAGCTACTCTATTTAGGGAGATGTCCTGGGTGCTCTATGTACCTTTTCCTGCTTCAGTTTCTCTGCACTGCTTCCTCCATCTGACCTGCCAGCACTTCAACCACCTACGCTGTCTTCATCCCTTCATCAGAACAGAAGTTCGACAAGGGCAGGGACTTTTGTTCACTCTGAATCCCCCCGAGTGTCCACCATCTGCCACATCATCAGTATTCACACATTTATTAAACTAATGAAGTCAGAATAAATGTCACTGTGCCCATTCGCCTCACTTTAACAGAGAGAGATGTGGAAAACAAATGTCCCATTGTTGTGTTGGGACTACAAAACATCTACAAAGGAAACAACATCAGGATGAGCAAGTTTAGAGGGTTCCCAGGAACGAAGTAAACCCCCCTTTACTTTCTGACCACTGGAGGAATTTAAAAGAAGGTGTCACTGTCCTGGCCAGGTAGCTCAGTTGGTTGGGGCATCGTCCCAATATGCCAAGTTGTGGTTTCCATCCTTGGTCAGGGCACATACAAGAATCAACTGATGAATGTAAAAATAAGTGGAACAACAAATCGATGTTCCTCTCTCCTTTTCCCTTTCTCCCTCTCTCTAAAATCAATGTTAAAAAAATCTTTAAAAGATACTATTTACTACACATCAAACAAAGTACCCAGGGACCAGACATTCCCAGAGAACTGGCCTCTGGGGAGGTTATAAAATCTGCCGATAGAACAGCATCTGCCACAAAATAAAGAGTTTCTCTGGCCTTTTCTCCCTATTGAGGGGAAGGAGCCTCTAATTCCTTGGAATTCCCCTGGCCACCTAAGTTTACACTAATGAGGTGACTCAATGGGGGCCGTCACACAAAAAAGACCTACCCTGTGATCAGAGGACTGGAAGTGTGTGTGGCAGGGAGGGCTGGAGTTCAATCATGTGACCTGTAATTTCATGGCTGACAGAGTGACACCCCAAACCAACTGGATAGTGAGGCTCGTGGAGTTTCCTGTAGGTGAGCACCCTGATGTGCCAGGAGGGAGACACATCTGTATTTTATAAAGAGGGCATAGCTCAGTGTCCTGGACCCTCCCAGACCACCCTGTGGGTCTCTTCACTTAGCCAGTCCTGGTTTGCATCCTTTATACTAAATAAAACTTTTTTTTTTATCATATCTTTTATAATAAAGTCAGAAGTATGATGTCTCCCTGAATTCTAAGTCATCCTAATGAGTTACTGAGGGGTTCATGGGAACTTCTGTAGCCAGTTGGTCAGCAGTGCAGGTGGCCTGGCGGCCCCAAGCTTCCAGCTGGTGTCTACGGTGAGGGTGGTCTATGTCTATGTTGGGGACCGAGCCCTTCACCTGTAGGGCTGCACTAACACTGGTGGTCAGCATCAGAGGTGCGCTGTAGTGGCACAGTGTGGATGGCACTAGAGATGCAAGTGGGTGGACAAGCAGCATGTTCAAAATCTGAAATTGTCCATATCACAAAGTCATTTCTTCCCAATCTAGTGAGTCAATATTACTCCATTTCAAATCTCAGATATCAATATCCTAATATTTACAAGTAAGAGCAAAGGGCCAACACTCTCCTGAAGGATGAGGTTGGGTCATGTCCCTTCCTGGAAATGAAGAATTATTCTAAAGCTATAGTGACAGGGAAGGTGGGGCTGGTGTCGGGACAGACAGACATATCAACAGAATGTGGAGCCACGAAACATGCTGTGCTCCAGAGACTCACCAGGCCTGGCAGAGCTGACAAAGGAGGGGCACCCAGGTACCCCATCACCAGCATAAGTAGCATTTGCACATGAATTATAAACCTCAGTGTGAAAAGCAAAACAAAAAAAGACTGGATGAAATTATAGGAAGGCATCTGAGGAGGGAAGGAATTGTTAAACCGGACACAAAAGCATTTACCATGAAGTGGAAAAAAAAAAAAAAAGACTCATTTGACTATGACAAATTAAGAATTTCTTCAACGAGACACCAGAGTGTGAAGCTGGGTACAAACTAGGTGGTAACTGCATACGTGCATAACCAAAGAATTCATGAAGTATGATGTATGAAATGAAAGGCCTCCTGGTCAATAAAAAATAAAACTTAGCCCTGGGTGGTGTGGCTCAGTTGGAGCGTTGTCCCATAACTGAAGGGTTGGTGGTTCAATTCCCAGTCAGGGGACGTACCTAGGTCGCCGGTTCGATCTTCCATCTGGGTGTGTACGAGAGGCAACTGATTGATGTTTCTCTCTCACACTGATGTTTCTCTCTATCCCTTTCTCTTTCCCTTCCTCTCTCTGAAAGCAATGAAAAAAACAAATGTCCTCGGGTGAAGATAAAAAAAGGAAAGGAGGGAGGGAGGGAGGGAAAGAAAGAAAAGGAAGAAAAGGAAGGAAGAAAGAAAACCTAGTAGAAACCTAGTAGAACCTAAGAGGAGAGGCCATTCACAGATGAAGAAATCCTAATGGCCAATAAGCCTGTATAAAAATACTCAACTTCCCCAGTAACCAGGTAGATGCTGGTGAAGCCTCCATGAAGTGCTGTCATTCCACATCCTCTAGATGAGCAAAAATAAACAAGTTTAAACCCCGGGTGTGGCACTGGTGTGGGTTTGCCTGCTGATGCAGTGCACTAGTTCACTGTACTAGAGGGGCCAAATGTTCTCCTGAGTTCAAATGCACATCTTTCCGTCCAGCATTTCTGCTGCCAGCTGCAGCAGGGGCTGGAGGAGAGTGGCTCAAAGCTGTGAATCCAGACCCAGGACACAGGCCACACATCCAACATCGACTGTAAGAACACCGGCCCCACAGACCAGGTACAGCGCCAGAGACCCCCAGCAAATCCAGGAGGGCAGCTGCAGGACCCCAACACAAGGGAAAGCAGCCATTCTTCAAGGCTCAGCTCTCCCAGAGGATGAGGAAGAGGGATGACCCTGGGCAGCTGGGCTGTGGGGCACATTTTCCTTATGTTCCGTATATTTTATAAATATTTTTTCCCTACTCTTTGATATTTAAATGTGCAATCAGGAAGAGATGAACTGAGGGAGACGGAGGGTGCTGGAGAGAGGGTGATCTGTTGGCAGTTGGTTAAAAAGAGAACCACTCCTCCTGAGCACAGCCTTCCTGTAGCCAGGGAAGCCACGCATGCTGGTGGGAACTAGCAGTTACCACAATGTCCCTGGGATGGGGCTGTCAACAACACGAGACACCTGGTGAAACAGACACCAGGCCCAGGTGTCCACATGGACCTTTGCAACCTCCAGTGTTTCCAGCTTTCATAAAGCAATGGAACACCATGTCCAGAGGCATCTGCAACAGTATTTCCACAGTTGGTAGAAGGCTACAAAATGAAGCATCTAGAAGGACCTATGAAAACCCCATTCCATGACACCCCTACATGAGTGGGGAACTGTTGGTCACAAAGAGTTTTGGCTCCATCTAGAATATCTGGTCTTCGGACAAAGAATGTTTCTATGGGATTTTCACGCAATTTTTAAATGTCCTGGATTCCCGGACTCACAGCAGCATGGCCCATGCAGGCAACTACAGAGTGATGTGTGCCCCAAGCTCAGCCAAGAACAGGGACAAATGACCTTTGGGATCTGAGGACTCTAGGGAGAGTGATAACAGACAATCATGCTTCATCATCACCCGTCTGGGATAAGGAATAAAAGTGCTATCAATAGAAACAGTGGCACACAGTCTGAATATCAACACAACAGGAAATACTGACCAGTGGCCAGTGCCTGGAACTATTATTTTGTCACAGATAGAAGCCAAACTGAAAATGTCAAACACAGAAGAAAACTTCCAGATCCAGAAAAATGTTATTTGGGAACAAACGCCCTTCTTTCTTTCACCAATTGTTCTCCAGGTCTGGGCCACCCAACCTGAGTCCTATCCCGACCCCCTCCCACCTAAAACCCTGAGGGCCATCAGGACACCCCACGGCGGCCCCTCCTCATTCCTCCTTGCTTGGACAGCCCACCCTCTCTGCCTGGGAAGGGATTCAGTGCATGCAGAGCTTACCCAGTGTGCTCAGGGCCTAGGACTAGCCTGACATTGCAGCTAAGGAGCCATGCCTAGTATGGTGGCTTCCCAAAACGGCTGCAGTTCCAGTTTTCTCAGGCAAAAACAGAGGCTACAGCTGCAGAGTGGGGACACCTAGATGTCCCCCTCAGCCTCAGCCTCAGGCTTTCCCACACTGCCACTGGAAACCTTGCCTGCCCAGCTCTCAGTTGGTCAGACCTTGAGCAGGGCTCCAAGGTGCCAACATTCATGTCTCACAGCCACATGGGCGCCCAATGAGTCTCCACTGCAGATGGCATCCTGATGGCCCTCCCATCAGCTCCTTTGCTCACAATGGTCCCTAGGAACGTCCCCAGGACAGGCCAGCCTTTGCAGGGACTGGGGTGTGTGAAGTTTGGACCGTGTGGATACTGCGTGCCAGAGGTTCCCAGCCCAAGCCCCCAGGCCTGGCCCCAGCCTCTAACCTCACTGCATCAATGACCCAGCCAAGGGAGGTGCTCAAGGCCTGACTACATCTACACAGAAGTGACTCTGTGAAGATGATGACACAGAACCCTTGAAAGAATGACTTCCTTGAGAAGTAGCTGAGGGAGGAGGAGGAAAAGGGGGAGAGTGCACCTCCTTCCAAGTGCCCTGTTCTGGTGAGCACAGGGCTGCTGGCCTTGACAGGGGAAAGAGGAACAGGCATTCCTGGGGTGTCATGCAGGGGCCCCATACAAAAGCCAGAGAACACACAGTCTGCAAGCACAACTTCCAGGAATAAATACTTTCTAAATTCTTCTCTTATAAATATGCATTAAAACATTTGATAACACAAGCAAAGGACTCTGGAATTAATTTAAAACTAAACCAAGACTTGATGTCCTATACTCCCAGCAGAAAGTTCACCTAAATGCACTTGAAGTCAGCAGCCACGGGCACCCCAGGCCCCACGGCCACCTCAGTCCCGGGGCACCTTGAAATGGTCCTTCTCTTTGCGGATGGCCCTCATGGTGGTGACAGGGTCCACCTCGCTCGCATGCTGCTGCACAGTCTTCTCCCTGCAGAACCAAGCATCAGGATGCAGGCTGCAGGCTGCAAGCCCCGCCTACCACCCCTCCCAGGACACCAGGGAAGAAAAGAGCCTGGAGGAGTCCGGGCATTCTTAAAAATGAAATGCAACAGCGCAAGGCCAACTTAGGTGTTCCTAACAGCGGACAGCATGCTGCCCAAACCCAGTTCTGCTGGCAACCCAGAGAGCGGGGACATCTGCCCTGTGCTGGCGTCCAGCACTGCCCCACACCGTGAGGCTCCCCAAGAATGCACCTCTCCCACCTACGGATCCTGACCCCATGCCCTCGCTAGGGCACCAAGAAAAGTGTCCTGCCCCCTCCCGCCCCCTCGCCTTTAAGAAAACATGTCTGATTCTGTGGCTATACTTAATAAAGATTTCAGGGCAGTCTCCTCCACCATTTGGGATCTTCAGAGGGAGTATCAGCGAGTGGACACAGTGTTTGAGTGAAGCAGAGGCCAAGACGCCCAAGGACAGCACGGGCCCCTGCCTGCACCCTCACCTCACTCTCATGAACGGATTATAGGTGAACTCCTCTGCAATGGTGGACGGCACTGTGGGTTCCCCAATACTGTACTTCTCCTGCAAAAGAAACACATCGCTTTAATACAGAAACTTCTAAATACCTTCATTTCAAAATGCCTTCTCATGATCTTCATACCATCTGACTGAGAAAGCAAAGTGAGCAGTCAGGTCACTGTAAGGTCGGGCCCCTCCTGCCTGTGGAGATGAGTGTTGCAGCTGCCACCGACAACTCGTCCTCCTTCCCTTGGAGTTTTGGAGGTGGAGGGGAACATGGAGCTTTCTTCTCATTAATATGAAGTTTATGTTTTACATTACAGAAGTAATAAACAGCAAAAATGCAGAAAACACAGAAAAGGAGAAAACACCCACTGCTCAACTCCCAAGACAGTGCGTAGATTGTGCACAGCTCTTTGCTGGGAAACACAGTAAGACAAATACCCAGGGTCCCTCCCCTGGGATGACAGCCCACTCTAGAGGGTAGTAAGTTCTCATCATGAGGTGTTCAGGCAGGGCTTCCCCTACACGGGCTCCCAAGAGAAGAGCACCCAGGAAGAGCCTTATCACCTCCAGTCAGGATGATTTCGCCCCTGATCAACACTGACCAAGGCAAACAGAGAGAAGATGCAAACCAGGCTGTTTGGCCAACTGTTCGCTTCTACAGAAACTCTAGGGGAAGGTCAAAATTAATAGCTGGGGGTCTCTGTCCTCCCAGCAACCCTTGCCCTTTTGTCTAGCTAACCCAGAGGGTCACAGGGCCAGAGCTTGGACAATAGCTGCTGACACCCAAGCCCAGGCTTCCTGACCACCAGTGGTCCCCAGACCTGACGGTCTGGATTTTACCACCCCCAGCACTGTGATCACTGGCATCAACAAATAATCCTTCCACTGCTTTGAAAGAATGTTATGTACCACTACATTCATTGCAGCATTATTTACAATAGCCAAAATTTGGAAGCAGCCCAAGTGTCCATCAGTAGATGAGTGAATAAAACAGCCACGGTTCATTTACACAATGTAATACTACTCGGTCGTATCACCCTTTGCAACAACATGGATGGACCTGGAGAACATTACGCTATGTGAAATAAGCCCGTCAGAGAAAAGACAAGTACCATATGATTTCACGCAAATGTGGAATCAAATGAACTGAATTAGCAAGCAAAATAGAGCCAAACTAACAGGGAGCAGGATGACACCTCTGAGGAGGGTTGGCACAGTAGAAGGATAAAGCAAAAAAGGGAAAAAAGAGAGAAAGCACATGCACATACATGGACAACAGTGTGGTGACTGCAGAGGGGAGGGGGTGGGTGAAGGTGGAGGAGGGTATGGGGGGATAAATGGTAATGGAAAAAATACAGTAAATGAAATAATAAAATAAAAATAAATTAAAAAGTAGAGCCTTAAAAAAAAAAAAAGAAAGAAAAGAAAGGAAAAGAAAGAATCCTTCAACCGTTAGAAGTATATCCAGTAGGGATCTGGCAGGAGCTCAAGATGAAGGTTTACTGCTGATCTCTGTTCTTTCCCTTCGGTAAAAACAAGCTTAGAATGTTTTATAATATCCTCTGTGTTTCTCCAGTGTTCACTTCTCCTCAACAATCTCTTTGGCTGGTGTGGCTCAGCAGATTGAACACTGGATTGGGAACCAAAGTGTCTCCAGATCCATTCCCAGTCAGGGCAGATACCTGGGTTGTGGGCCAGCTCCCCAGCAGGGAGCGCATGAGAGGCAACCACATCTTTATGTTTCTCTCCCTCTCTTTCTCCTTCCTTTCCCCTATCTCTAAAAATAAATAAATAAAATTTAAAAAGAGAGAGAGAGAGATGATGGTGTTCATTTGAAAATAATATTTAAAAAAAATCTTATTCTATCTCCTGTGAGGGAAGAAAACAAGTTAACACTTCTAAGGATAATTTTAAAACAGGTTCTTACACATTCAGTTGGGGGAGTGTAAACTGTCATAACCTTTTAGATTATCTATTAAAGTGAGGGTTAACGTGTAGTGATTTTCCTACAGAAGCAGGAAGGATGCAGAAGTATAAATACTGCAGCACAGTTCATAAGAGCAAGAGGGTTGGAAACCCTAAATGTCCTCCCTAATGGAATTGGTAAAATGATACATGGATGACATCCACACATGAGTGTATTTGAAAGTAAGAGGGATGGACAGACAGGGACAAAATAAGTACAGTACAATGTTAGTAGTAGAAAGTAGGTATTAGGTATGTGAATGTTCACTATGAAATTCCTTCAACATTTCTACATATGTGAAAATTCTCATAATAAATGTTTAAAAGACTAAAAAAGTTTAACACAATTCATTACATGCCATGTGTCAAAGAAGCAATCACAAGGGATATTTTTTAAATATTTCAAAGTGAAGATAATGAAAATACAACAGCTGAAAGTTTGTGGGATGCTGCTAAAGAAGTACTTGGAAGTAAGTTCTTAGCTTTAAGTGCTCATATTAGAAAAGGAGTAAATGGGACTGGAAGAAATGAAAGAAAGAAAAGAAAAGAAAGAGAAAGAGAGAGAGAGGAATGAAGGAAGGGAGTGAAGGAGGAAGGAATTAAGTAAATCGATCTAAAATCAATGAACTCAGATTCCATATTAAGAATCTATAAAAAGAAGGGCAAAGTACATCCATAGTAAGTAGATGGAAGGAGTTTTAATAAATAAAAGCAGAAATCAGTGCAATGGAAAAACAAACAAGGAAAATTAAGGCAAAGTTGTTCTTATGAAAAATCAACAAAATTGTAAGAATGATGAAGAAAAAGAAAACAAATTTCCAGCATAGAAAATTCTGACCTTGGGAAAAGTAGAGATTTCTTAGTTAGGAGACAAAAAGTATGAACCATAAAAGAAAGTTAATATGCTGGACTTAATCAAAATTTAAAACGCTGTTCAGAAGACATTGATGAGAAAATAAAAGGCAAGCCACAGAATGGGAGAAACTATTCACCACACATATACCTGACAAAGGACTTGAATCCAGAACATACTTTCAAAAAATGCTCGTATTATTAAGTAGAAGACAATCCAGTATTTTAAATGGGCAAATAGATTTGAACAAACACTTCACAAAATGGCCAGTAAGCAGATAAAATGATTCTCAGCATTACGGGGCACTAGGTAAATGCAACTTAAAATCACAATGAAACACCACTACATAACCATTAAAATGATTAAAATTAAAAAGACTGACAATACCAAGTGTTGGTGAGGATGTGGAACAACTGGAACTCTCATACTTTGCTGGTAGAAATGTAACATAATACAAATACTTATGAAAATAGTTTGACAGTTTCTTTATAAGTCAAACATATATTTAATACAACCCAGCCATTTCACTTCTAGGTATCTAAAAGAAATCAAAACAAGTCACACAAAGACTTGGAGAGGGATGTTCATAGCAGCTTTACTTACAACAGCCAATTACTGTTGTAATTGAAAAAAAAAACAGATGCCTATCAATAGATGAATGGATAAACAGAATGTGGTATATCCAAACAATGGAATACTATTTAGCAATAAAAAGGAATGTACTACTGATACAGGCAGCAACATGAATTAATGTGAAAATCATTCTGCATACTGGATAGTTCCACTTATATAAAATACTGCACTAAAAAATGTAAGCTAACCTCTACTGACATACAGTAAATCAGTAGTCCTCTGGAGCCAGGGCAGTGAAAAAGAGGCATGAGGAAGATTTGAGAGTGATTAAAATGTTCTGTGACTTAATTGTAGTGGTAGTCGTTTCACTGGTATACACATCTCTCAAAATTCACTCAGTTCTTCACTTTAAGCTGATAGTTTATTACATGTTTACTAAACCTCAACAAAGCTGATATTAAAAAGGGAACAAACCGTATGAAAACTCTGGCAATAAATTTGAAAACCTTGATGAAATGCACAAATTTCTTGAAAGATACAGGTTGCTAACACAACTCAGGAAGATATAAAAATCTAATAGCTCTACACAAAAAAATTAATTCATAACAAAAAATCTTTCCACAAAAAGAATTCAATATCCACATGGCTTCAGTGATGAATTCTAACAAACATTAAAGAAAGAAGGAATAACAATCATAGAAAACTCAAAAACTAGTAGGAGGAAACACTTTCTCATTTTATGAGGCCAGTATTACCTTGATATTAAGATCAGACAAGGATGATGCAAGAAGATAAAACTATAGACCTATTTCCCTTAAGGGCACAGATACAAAAATAGACTCTAGCAACATATGAAAAGGATAATAAAACTATGACTAAGGTTTATCCAAAAAGGAAGGCTGGTTTTACACTTGAAACCAACTGATGTACTCCACCAGATTAACAAGAGTAAAAAAAAAAAAAAGAGAGCGAGAAAAAAAGTGATTATACAATAAATAAAGAAAAGCCATTTGACAAACTTCAACACCAACTCATGATAGATACTCTCAGAAAACCAGGACGGTAAGTGAACTTCATCAGCTTGATAAAGAAGATTTATGAAAACCCACAGCTAATGTCATATTTAAAGGTGAAAAACTGAATGCTTTGTCCTTAAGATTGAGAACAAGCCAAATACATCCACTCTCACCACTTTTGTTTAACTCTGTACTGTAGCCAGTGAAATAAGGCAGGAAAAATAATAAAAAGCATATAGATTTGAAAGGAAGAAACAAAACTATCTCTATTAGTTGATGACATAATTGTATCCTAAGGAACCTATGGAAAACATGCTAGAATAAGTGAGTTTAGCAAAGTCACAAGGACGTGAGGTCCAAATACAAAAATCAATTGTATTTCTAAAGACCATCAACAAATAATCATTTACAATAAAATCCAAAACATGTAGTACTTAGGGATACATTTACCAATGTGTGCAAGATCTTTAACAGAAAAAGTTAGGCACTGGCTGGTATGGCTCAGTGGATTGAGCACCGGACTGTGAACCAAAGAGTAGCCAGTTCGATTCCCAGTCAGGGCACATACCTGGGTTGCTGGCTATGTCACCATTTGTGGGTGCTTGAGAGGCAACCACACATTGATGTTTCTCTCCCTCTCTTCCTCCTTCTCTTCCCCTCTCTAAAAAATAAAATCTTTTTAAAAAAATTACAAAATATGCTGAGAAAAACTAAAGGACCTCAATAAATGGAAAGTTATATCATGTTCATGGAAAGACTAAATTTTTTTTAAAAGATTTCATTTATTTTTAGAGAGGGAAAGGGAGGGAGAAAGAGAGGGAGAGAAAAATCTATTGGTTGCCTCTTGCACACCCCCAACCAGGGACCGAACCTGCAACCCAGGCATGTGCCCTGACCAGGAATGGAATCAGCACCCTTTCATTTTGTGGGACGATGCCCAACCAACTGAGCCACACTAGTCAGGGAAAGAATCAGTAGTGTTAAGATCTCAATTCTCTACAAATCTTTTGTTACAACACAGTCCCAATCAAAAGCCAAGCTGACATTTTGTAGAAATTAAAAGATGACCCTACATTTTACACACAAATGCAGGAGACTTAGAAGATCCAAAATCCATTTAAAAAAAAAATAAAGTTAGAGGATTTATACTATTTGATTCCCAGATACACCATAAGCTATAGTAATTAGGACAGTATTATTGATACAAGGATAAGTCATACAGGTCAATGGAACAGAATAGAATGCAGTAGATTCCTACTGGGTATATTTTATTCAGCAAAGATGCTTAGGTAATCCACAGAGGAAAGGAGAGTCTTCAAAAAATGGTGCTGAGCAATGGACTGTCAATATGCAAAAAAGTGAACTTATACCCTTACCTTATACCATAAACAAACATTAACTTGAAATGGATCACTGACCTATGTATAAACTTATATGAACATGAAAACCAAAACTGTACAGCTTCTAGGAGAAAACAGAGGAGAGTCTTTGTGATGTAGGGGTATGCAAAGATTTTTTTACATAGGACACAAAGAGCATTAAAAAAGTTAATAAACTGAGCTTCAACAAAAGTATAAACTTCTATTTTTTGAAAGATACTGTTAATAAAATGAAGCAGGCCACAAACTGGGAGAAAATATTTGATATCTATATCCAACGAAGACTTATTTCCAGAATATACAAGGAATTATTACAACTCAGTAAGAAGACAACTCAACTTTTTAAATGGACCAAAGATTTGGATATACACTTCACAAGGAAGACATATATATACCAATAAGCACAGGAAAACCGCAAGGAGGTACCACTATATACATATTTGAATGGCTAAAATTTAAAATATCAGCAATACCAAATATTGGTAAGCACATGGAGCAACTGGATTGTTTATGCATTGCTAATGAAAATGCAAAAAGGTACACCCAATTGGAAAACAGTCTGGTAGCTTCTTGAAAGTTAAATATACACTTACCATACACCCCAGCAACTTTACTCTTAGGTATGTTCTCACATGTGTCCACACAAAGACTTGCACACAAATATTCATAGTAACTTTATTTATAATAAGGAAAAGCTGGAAACAACCCACGTGTCCATCCACAGATGAGTGGGTAAACAAACTGTAATATATCCATATGAGATACTACTCAGAAATAAAAAATGAATGAATCTTAAAACCATTATGCTGAGGAAAAGTGCCAGGCACATTAGAGTAATGTTATATGAAAGTCTAGGAAACTGTAATCTATAGTGACAGAAAACAGACCAATAGTTGGGGGCACTGAATGGGGAGGGGCAAGGAAACCTTTGGGGATAGTGTAAATGTTTATTGTGATTGTGTTGGGGGTTACACAGGTACATACATTGTCGAAATTCATTGAACTGTACAATACTCACTTGGGTACTTTTCATTGTATGTAAATAATGCTTAATAAAATTTAGTTTTCAAAAAGTAGATAACCATGAAAAGAATGAGTTCAATATGTATAAAATGCTATGGAAAGAGCACTACGACCCAGTATTAAGTAAAAAGAAAACCACAAAGCAGTATGTATAGACTACATACAGGATGAGCTTTATATATTAAGTACTCATACATGTGCAGTGTTAAAAAATGGGATATTTATCCACTGATTAAGACAGTATTTGAATTTGTATAGGTATTATAAGCCCACCCTCAAAAATTGATAAGGATGCTCAACAAAATCAGTTAATTAATTTATTTTTTAAAAAACCCACAAAAAACCTGTGTGAGGTAGTTTTACTCACTCAACTCAGCAGAAGGGAGCCCACCCAGCCCCTGAGGCCTTCCAGGTTTGTGTTTCTTCCTGACAGCCTTTCTCAGTGACTCAAGTGCGAAGACAGACACCTGGAGTCCAGGAGAACCTCTCTGCCTACCCAGGGCACCTGTGGCTGTCTTTTCAAATCCCTCATAGAAGACGCCTCTAGGGCAGGTCAACCCGTGGGCTGAGCAAAGGAACAAGTTTGGGGCCATCGTTGAAATAAATGACAAACAGCCTCCAGAGCAAAACCGCTGCCACACAGTCCCACCTGCTGCCCAGGACATGAGGAGTGTGTGGGGATCTGCCACTTTGGTCTGCTGGGGCACTGGTTGGAAACTCAGACTCCCAGGCCCACCCCAGACCCGCTGAGTCAGAAAAGATCTGACAAGCCACCAGGTTCCTGCACAAAGTTTGGTGGGTCTACAAGCTAGTCTGTTTATGGCCCTGAGGAGCACTTGCTGCCCATTCTGGAAATGATGGCTTGAGTGCCAGCAGACTGAGTCCTACATGGTCCCAGGAAACCACTTCACAGTAACTGACCCACAGGAAGTGCCCCATAGGATACATGTCCCACTCACCTTGGCCCAGGCCAGTTTCTCCTGAATGGCAGTGTTGTCGGGCTCCACGTGGCGAGCAAACTTGAGGTTGTTGATGGTATATTCATGGCCACAGTACACTCTCTAAGGAAAAAGCCAAACCCATGAGTTCTGAAGAGACTTCTTAATCCCTCCTCAAACTCCTCAGAGATGGGCCCCAAGGGCCCTGCGCTGGGCCAGTGACACCCAGGGAGACATCCGTTAGGACAAGACACTCCTTGCATGTATGTGAAACAACAATAAAAAGTACTTTGAGAGAAAACCCACCGTTCTAAAGAAAAATGCCTCCACCCTCCCACTCTTCCCCACACACAGGGGTAACCACGGGATTGGGGGAGGTGGGACAGGAGGTAAAGGGACAGAATAGGAGAGCAGCCAGGGAACTTGATAAGTGCTCTGCCTACTGTGTCAGGAGGGAGCCGACCCAGGACCTCGAGCAGAGCTTTGTACATCTCATCCGCTGTCCCTTCATAGAACTTCCCGCAGCCAGCCACAAACAAGGTGTCACCTGAAAGCAGACAGCCACGGAGTGGTGAGGCCACCAGTACAACACACCCCCTTGAGAGGCTGGCGGTTCACTACTGGACGATGCTAATCGCCACCATCTGTGGGCCAAGGCTTCACTCCGTCCCCTGGGCTGATGGGAGCCCAGCCTCAGATGCATCCTCCACCTAGATACCTGACAGGGCCCAAAGACAACCCGCCCCAAAACTTTTCACTGAACTTTCACCCACTGGTGCCACCAGCCTCCAAACAGCTGCTCAAACCCAAACCTTAGAGTCATGCTGACTCCTCCTTCATTGCCCAGTCCTCTCAGCAGTAGTGCCAAGATCCCCTCATCCAGCACTTGTTCCTACCTGCCCAGCAGCCCCCTTCACAGGCCTGGCCTCCACGCATCTTCCCTTATCCCAGGCATCCAGGGCGATCTGTAACACCCTCTGTGATCTCATCAGCCTCATCTGAGCCCTCGGGGAGCCCCTCACAAGGGACAACAGACCATGAGGGCCCTCAAGTGCAAACGTGCCGCCAGCAAATCACTCCTTCCTGCTTCCGACCTTTAGACAGTGTCCCCTCTGCCTGACACGCCAGGTCTCTATGCACTGTTGCTTCCTTCTCCTGAGAACCAGCTCTGCGCCAAGTGAAGCCCACAGGCATTTGTTCTCTACGCCCTTTATGTGAGGAGGGTCTGGGACCCGTCAACACTGAGCAGCATTCCTCTTCCATCAGCACCTGCCAAGCCTCATCCCTGGCACATACAGTAAAAGCCAAAGCTTCCCCTCAAAGCTTCCCCTCCCTGTGGAGTGAGGTAGAGGGATAGCCTATGAGCAGAGCCTCAACACACAGGTCAAGGGCCCTGCAATTTGAGTCTGGGGACTGGCAAGTGGACACGGAGACCCAGAGGAGAGCAAGCCACTTAGGAGCAGGAATCCCGTCCAGGGACAGGCAGCACCTGCTACTTGCGCACCTAGGAACTTCATGGGCCTTCTGCCATTGCAGCCAGGGGAGCCGGGTCCTCATAGCTTGCATCATGGAAGCAAGGACACTAAGAGAGCTGGGGGCCTCTGTGGCCCTCCCTGACAGCCAGAACCACCATTCTTCTGCACCTTGGCCTCTGAGTTGTCTTTCTCACCCTCTGCGATCAGCTATGATCATAGCTGCGATGAGCTATGAGTGCCAGGGGGCATACCACCTCTCCAGCAGGCCGCCCCTCTACCCCCAAGTCCTGTGGAGCTAGCCATGGTTCTAGCATTCGCTGCAGCCTCCTTCCTCAAGCACCTGAGCTGTTCCTGTGGCTTTGGCACTCACTGCCATGAGCTGGAGTCCAGGACCTGAGGTCCAAGACGATCCTAACCTTTCAAACGCAAATGTCCCACTGGCCAACATGCCACTGCCCTGCTGCCTCAACCAGGCCTGTCCCCCAGACCACCTTCCCCTCCTCTTCCCCTGACCTGTCAGTGCTCAGTCCTGCCTACCACATCCCAGGGCCAAAGCCACACCCTTCTCTGGGCTGTCACCTCCTCTGATTACATCTTAGGGGAAGGGAGCATGGCCCTGGATCACTCAGACCTGGGCTCAAAGCCTGGGGCCATGAATATTCCCACCTTTGGATGCTGCTGATGCTGCAGGTTCCTTTGCTGCACACACAGGCCAGCTGGGGCCCTGCTCAACCGTCCTCTTTCCACACCATTAGTCCTTACTGTAGATGCCCCAGACCCCTTAGCTGCCCCATTGAGGACACTGAATGATTTTTCACATATTTATTATTAAAGTCACCAATAAGACAATATACTGCCTGCCAGCTGCTTTCACACAGACAACAGTAAAGACTCATGCACAACATAGTTCAGGTCTGTGTTTGCAGCAATCAGTGCTCCACACCTTCCAAAGTGGGACTCAGCTTCTAAAAGCACAGTCCCCAGGGACCCACCCACTCCCCAGGTCCTGACAACCTTGAGAGGCTGACAGATGAGCAAGCTGATGTCTGGTAGGAACAGGAGAATGATGTACTGAGGGTTTGCCAAGCCAGGCACCAGTTTGTACACATCTTACACCTCAGGCCCACACCACTCAGTGGGGAATACTTTGCTCTCATCACACACACAAAGGCAAAACCACTTCAGGGTAGTGTACATATGGTATGCAGGCCAATTTACCTACTCCATACCACAGTGAGACTCTGTCCATTATGAGGCCAGGGGCTGCGACAATGTGCCCAAGGACTTGCAACCTGACTCACAGCCCCATGTCTCCTTCACTGCAATAAAGATACTGAGAGCAGCTGTATATTTTATAAAAAACAAAAACAAAAACAAATCCTTAGATCTGGAGATATTTTTTTTCAATATGGAACGCTTCATGAATTTGCCTGTCACCCTTGCGCAGGGCTACGTTAATCCTCTTCGTATTGTTCCAATTTTAGTGTATTTGCTGCCGAAGAGAGCACAGATCTGGAGATAATCTTGGGTTTGTAGACAAGCTACAAAGATTAACCAGAGGCCCCTTATGCACCCCGACTCGGTTGGCATTTCCCTTAATATCTTATGTCACCTGGTATATTTGTCAAAACTACAAGCCTGCATCCCTATATTGTTATTAACTAAACTCTACCCCAGCCTCAATGCACATTTCCCATTAACACCCTTTTTCCATGGCAGGATCCATTCCAGGAGCCCACAGTGCATTCAGCCATCATATTTTTAAACTAACTTTCATTGCAGTTACAATATCACAATTGTAACTTACACTTCTGGAAGGGTCGGAGCTTAAAAACTGTTTACAGGTAGCAGTGGGGCTCTCTGAGGCCAACAAGCCTGCTCTTGGCTAGACAGTGTCAACCATTACTGCTCATCTGTGGCCACTCGTTCATGCCACCCTGGTTGCCGCATGGCCATTCCACTTCACAGGTTCCCCAACTGGCATCGACACTCTCATTTTTTCTCCCAAAAGAGGAAAAACACCTCTAATTGCTGGAAAGGCCTGCTTGCCCTGACTGAGTGCTGCTCACACAGCCCAGTGCTGGGCCGTGCTTCACAAACCTTACCCAGGGTCACAGCCACTGCAGACTGTAGCCATTACCCGAACTCATCCAGCACCATCTGAGCTTGTCTGGGCTGCCAGGCAGGCCGCTTTCAGGGTTGCTTTGTGTAGGAGACCACGACCGGGGGCTGGCTACTGACTTTGCCAAACCCAGCTCCCAGCCCATGGAGGGAAGGGCAATGTGAGTACACTGAAAGGCATCAGCCCCACATGAGGCAGGTCAGAGACTCACTGCCCACCTGGCAGCTGACGGAGGTAGTGGGGGCTGGGGCTGCATCCCCACCAGGCAGTGTCTCAAGGAAAGGCTTGTTCCCAGAGCACCTGACAGTGGTTAGAGGGAAGCACAAGACCAGCCCCACCAGGAGGTGCCACTCTCCTCTACATCCACCCGGCCTGCCCATGCCCCGGTGTGTCTGAAGCTAAGCCCCAGACTTTACCCCTATGGCTGTGGTCTTCCTAATTCAGTCCTGTGTAGTTTTAGGCAGGAAATGCTCTGCTTCTCTTCCTCTGTGCCAAGGTCTTTGCAAAGAATGCCCAACCTCCAGCACACACACCTGAATCCTCACCTGTAAACACTGCAGGGGGCTCAGCACTGCCGGGCTTGCTCACAAAGTAGCAGATGTGTCCAGAAGTGTGACACGGTGTAGAGAGGCACTTGATGTTGAGAGACCCCACCTGAAACAAAGCATGTGCTGGGACTCAGTCCTTGAGTACGCCTCCAGGGGCAGGGACCACTTTAGAACCTGGCTGTACAAAACTAAAGGGGTTTATTTTGTTTTCTCCCTCAAAATCGGGCCAAATCTGAACCAGGAGTCTTGCTAGAAAAGACAGTTTTGCTACTAAGGAGCATGGCCTTTTTTTCTTTTTTTCTTCTGTCTTCCTCCCCGCACCCCTTTACATCAAAAATACAAAAAACTGAAATAAAGATGAACATCTGTATGACCTTTACCTGAATCACCAAATGCTGACAGTTCCATCCGCAGTAGGCGCTCTCTCCACACACATGCATTTCAAGTCACACACGTCCTGACAAATTGCCCCTAAATACTCCAGCTACATCTACTAAGAAAAGAACATCCTCCTCCATAACCTCGCTATCATCACATCCAAGAAACTTAGCATCAGCACGAGAATATGATCCTACGCAGGGCCTATATTTAAATTTCTCCAATTATCTCTAAGTGGTACCCTACAGCTTCTTCCCTTATCGCGTCACCAATTGCACACTGATTTGCTTGTAATGCTCTCAACACAGGGGTCTGTCCAGGCCCAGGCAGCCCCAAAAGGCCCGCCCCCATCCACAGGTCAGGCTATCTCCAGAGCCCAAGCCTTTACGTGTCCCTGGGGTAATGGAGGGGATGCCCACACTAGGCTCTAGGGCTTGGCATCCCTTTCTGTTGGGGTTCATTCCTCACCTGCAGTGTGGACAGTTGTGTGACCTTGTGAGTCAGGGCCCCGATCCGGTCATCGCCCCCATACACCTTCAATCCAGGCTCCAGCTTGACCAGCTTCTCATTCCCGCCAGCATGGTCCCTGGAAGTCGAAAAGACCTAGGAGTGCTGCTGATATGACGGGGGTTTGCTTGCTTGTAAACCCTGACCAAACAGAATTTTTTCCCTTTTTATTGAACTTACTGGGGGTGACATTGGTTAATAAAATTATATAGGTTTCAGATGTACAATTCTATATAGATAATACATCATCTATAAAGTATTATGTATTCACCACCAGACAGAATTTTTATTTGCCTAGCTGTGTTTCTTAGAAATAAAAATGAATCTCCCAACACAGGAAACTGGCTCCACTGAAAAGAATGTCCTTAGGCATCCTGTTCCTATGCTAGGTGTTTTGGTGGCTCTGCCTCGGCAGCACTTCAGAAAGGGGGTCAGGAGAAGAGCTCCATTCCCTGACTTTGTGGGGCCAGTTATAGGGCAGGGTAAGGATGCACCAACACCTGCCATTCCAGGACAAGGCCAGGGCTTTCTGGTCACAAGGGAACCCCTGCTCCCCATTACACATTCACTTATGGACTCTTCTGATAGGCCCAGAAACAGCAGGGCCCGAGATCAAAGAAGGCCGGCCCCTGCCTCCCTCCGCTCAGAGGGCTGTTACACACCAGCCAGGGCCAGCCCCTCAGCCCGCTCACCACCACCACCCATAAGTGGGAGGGAGGCACAGACAATACCCTAAAGCTAGTTTAGGGCCTTGTTTAGGATTTATGTTCTAGTGAAAACTTAAGGTACTGAGAAAATCCTCCAGAAAAGTGACATCTGTTATAGGGGTGTCTTAATGTGGGAGAGAGAAGCAAACTGTGTAAACCTGGGGGAGGAGGAGGCTTCCTGCACCCACATGGAGGCCCAAGAGGCCTGAAGCACAGAGCAGGCAAATTTCTCAAAAGAAAGGGTGGCTGTGCTAAGCAGTTCAGGCCAAGGACAGGGCTGTAGACCCTGCCCCTTCAGAAATTAGCACCTGACATCCCAGAGACTCAGCAACTTAGTTATGTAAACCCAGATGTTTCTACCATATAACAAATGCTGGCCAAACCACATCCATTTAACACTCCAGGTGAAAGTCCTCATTTTATTTATTTGTATTTTTTAGATTTTATTTACTTATTTTTGTAGAAAGGTGAAGGGAGGGAGAAAGAGAAGGAGAGAAACATTGATGTGTCAGAGAAACATCAGTCAGCTGTCTCTCGTACATGCACCAACTGGGGACCATGCCTGGAAGCCAGGCAGGTGCCCTGACCAGGAATTGAGGTGGTGACCTTTTGCTTTGCAGGACAACACTTAGCCACCTGAGCTGTGCTGCTAAGGGCAAGGCCTCATTTTATTACTGGGAAAAAGAGGCCAGTGAAGTTGAGCTCCTGCAGCCTGAATTACAGTGATGCTACAGGGACAGGTTCATTCAAAGGCATTAGCTGCCCTCAAGCAGTTATTGGGAAAAGAAAGTTCAGAGCCAAATAAACTTTTTTTTTTTTAAGCTCTGAAGAGCCTCAAAAGTTTCAAAAAATCCAAAAAAAGGACCTTGGACAGATAACTCTAGTCCTAAACCCAAATTCGAGTGCTTTTTCATCATTTAGCCTTTTTATTAATTAAAAGAAAAAACAAAACAAAAAAACCCCTACAACCTTTCCAAATATGGTTGTTGATTTTTAAAAACACCAATGTCTAGCCTAGTTTCTTCCCTAACATTGAGGCCAACATCCCATCACACAAACCCAAGTGCTTTTAAAGGCACTGCTGGGGGTCCTCTCGCTGCAGAAGGACCCACAGCACAAGCGTCTTCCCATGAAGCCCCTGAGTTACTAGAACCCATCTAAGGGCCAAGGGGCTAGGGCTGGAAGACCACGGGAATGGGGCAGCAGCATGGAAGCTGACGCCTGAAGCCTTTTCAGAGTCCCACAGGAAGCAGACCCTCAGCTGCACAGTGGCACAGCTGTGGGGCACAAGTGATCCAGGCTGCCAGCTGCAGGAGGGCCCGGACAGCCTGTGAGAACCCCACCCCACCCCACCCTCAGGGTGTGCCTGGCTCGGAGCTATCAGACCCAATCAGCTCTGCTGCCCTGGAGGGAACTCAGCCTCTGGATAGGAGCACTTACCAATGGTGGTGGGTGGTGAGCACTGTAGTCAGCTTCACACCATGCTTTTTCACCGTTTCTACAACCTGTAACCACACGTGAGGCAGGACAGGGGCCACCATCACACTCCCAGAGCTGGCTCACCAGCCTGCAAGGTGGGGGTGCCCAGCAGAACCTAGGGTGTGCCAGGAATGGTCAGGTCCTGTCCCGACCCTGCCAACTCAGCCTAACTTCAGTAGAGCCGGATGAAAGTGGCCTTTATCTCTTTTAATCCACTTGGCAGCTCAGTAACCCCCGTGACCTCTCCTAGCCCCTCTGGACAAAAGCCCGAAGGAAGAGTGGATAGTGCAAGGACAGCTTCTGCTTCTTTGCCCAGGGACTTTGCAGACAAGACCTTTCCTTTATCTTTCTGCCAAAGCCTCTGGTCACCCCCACCCCTTTCATTGGCCCTTTGCCATGATAACACTGGCTGGGCACTAGTTAAACTGTCTGTTAAAAACTAATTCATTAACTAAGAGTTAGCTTCAGCCAAGTGGCAAGAACACCACAGTTACCAAATCCATCAGGGGATAAAGAATTGTTGGTGGGGACACACCTCCCACCTTCTGAGGCTGCACTGGGTCCACAATGGCGGCCTCCTTGGTGTCATCATCAATGATCAGGTACATGTAGTTGTCGGTCAGGGCTGGCAGTACCTCAACCTTCATGGCACCCTGTTCCACAGCCAAGCTCTTCCTCAAATCTGTGTGATAGAGGATTCCCAGCAGGGCTGGACCTGAAGACAGAGCACAGTTTTGGTCAGTGTCCAAATGAGGTCACATCAGGCATAGACTCAAAACAAGCCCTCAATGGCCCAGCAGTAGGGACATCCTATGACATTCTGGACTGACACGTAGCAAACATCCAAGCACGAGGCTCACTGTGCAGGGTTTTTTTACATTTCTTTGATAGAGAAGAGGTGGTCTCATTTAACCACATCAGTAAGGAAAATCTAGAAAATGATTCATGTTCATATTCAAGGAAATCAGCTCTTTCAGATTTATGATCCTTATTTTCTTTTTCAAGAGCTCTAAAGGGATAGAAAGACCAGCCTGTGGCTGTGATTCAAACAATTGGCATACATGATTATTGTAAGCTGGTTGTTCACACCTGACTCAGAGAAGACCATGAAAAGAAGAACCCAAAATAAAAGTGCCAAGCTAGGCTGTTTCTTACTCACAGCACACACTGCTTCCTTACCAGCTAACACAGCTTGAGTCACCTGTAGTTACTCACAGCTCTTCTTAAGCCTCTGGCCAGAAAAGAAAATAATATAGCAGGAACTAGAAAGTTGGATAATGCACAAAATCACCAGGGCCTGAGAGATGGAGAGTTGGCTAAAACTGTTCCAGATTTGGGTGTGCAGGATACAGAATCACCATCCAACTGAGCCAAAGGACTCTGCCAGGATGGCCAGGAGTGACTGAAGGGCAAAAGCATCTTCCAGCCGGCAGGCAGGTGCCAGACTATTTTCAACAATGAAACTCCTATTATTCAATCTAAAAATTCACAGAGGCCCCCAAAATACTTTAAGTCTTAGCATAAAAGGGATTAAAAATGCACAGCAAAAGGTGACAGAAGGCAGCCATGAAATTCTGAGGTAGGTGCTGGGATGAGGATCTGTCCTTAATGGGATCTGGAAAGCAGGGAGCACCCACTGACTGACTGACAGACAAACAGGGGCCATCAAAAAGCAGATTCAACCTTATATGTCATGGTCAGAGAAAATGCCTGAACTGCAGCTTTAATGATCCCACACAGATATCCTTTCCTTTGACAACCAGCTGGGCATTTTCCAGGCCCCTCTAGTAATACACAGCAGAACAAACATTTTTGTAGGATTAAGTCTGTGGTGTTCCACCTTCCCTGAGCCTCAGGCTTCTCGGAGCCTGATAGCTATACTATACAGAGCAGCATGTGTATTGGGGATGGGCGTTGGAGGAGAGCAGAAGGATAAAAACAGAACTCCATGTCTGGAAGCATCTAACTCAAAAGGGGCCCCGTTTACGTATTTCCCATAGGACATTATCTACACTGCCCAAGTGAAGGAAACATTATTCACAAGTCGTGCTTGGGAACCTGGAGAAGATGCCATTATCTCTAAGGAAAGAATTCATCTGGTGCAATCACCACCAGAAACCTTATTCCTTTTCCAAAAATTGTATCGCCTAGACTACCACAGTCTGAGAAATACTCCCAGCTCACTGGTTTGCAAATGTAATCTTTTGTGTAACCAGAGGGCACAGACCTACGGCATATGGTCTGGGCCAAGTACTGAGACAGGCTTTGTCTGGCTTCTTTTGAATGGGGCCAGTTCTTCTGCATGGCACTGGCCATTTGAGACAGCTGCACTCCTGGCAATTCCCTACAGTCCCACTTACACTGTCTGTCTGACTTCTGACACGAAGACTCAGCTCTGACACTTTGACAAATTTCCTTAAATGGGGAAAAAAAATAACATCAGGCTCTTTCCTTAGTAATGGTGACACTTTACCCACCCGAGAACCTTGACTACTTTCAGTGGTTTTTGAAAATGGCCAAGGGTGGCTTCACTGCTTGTTAAATCGACGTATGTAGTGCCCTTCCACCATTTAGCTGTAATCAGGTCCCAGAGGCTGGGGTTAACCTATGCCCCTATTGCCATATCAGCCAGATAAAATATCAGGAAATAAAGAAAAGGAGATTCCCAAAATAAATGCCAAAATATTCCAACAAAGCAAGAGGTTAGACTCTAGCCCTGGCTGGTGCGGCTCACTGTACTGAGTGCCGGCCTGCTAACAGAAGGGTTGCTGGTTTGGTTTGCAGTGCAGGGCACATGCCTGAGTTGCGGGCCAGGTCCCCAGTAGGGGGTGCACTTGAGGCAACTACGCATTGACGTTTCTCTCCCTCTTTTTCCCTACCTTTCCCTCTCTCTAAAAATAAATAAATAAAATCTTTAAAAAAAAAAAAAGGTTAGACTTTAATCTGACAGCAGGAAGAGCAAGCTCTCGGGAGGCCAGTGTACCCAACGCCTCTCATTTTAAAGGCACTTATGAAAAGACAGCTAGGGAGCGCCAGGGTTCCACAGATCACAGGACCCAGTCTTGTTGAAATCCAAGCATTGCTCCACTCCAGGGTTCTCCCCTTTAACATCACTTTAGAGTCCGTCCTTCAGGTTCTTCTTGTCAGCCAAAGCTTGAGATGAAAAGATGTGATTTAATTTGTGGAGAATATACACAGCATTCCTCGGGCTATAAGCAGTTTCACATCACCCCAGGTCATTAGAAACACGGAGTCTGTGGGGTGGGGACGATGGAATTATGTGAGAAACCCCCGCACCACCCAGCGTCAAGGAAGACGAAGGCTGCCAGGTAACAGCAGGGAGGCCGGTCCGAGCGCCGGGGAACACGTCTCCTTCCTTACCTAGCACAAATCCTTCAGCAAACCCAGCTGACCAGTTACCCCACCCTCAGCCGTCTCAAAATCTAACCCAACTGCTGTGCAGCCTTTCTCGACAACTACCGGCCTGCCCGCCGCCGTCAGCGAGGGTTAAATATCCTTCGTCGATAAAAATCAGTATCAGTCACGGCGCTCCGGTGACTCCCTGCCGCTCAACGCCCGGCTTCGGGCTGCCAGCGCTTCTGGAACGTCTCAGGGAGCGCGACTGGCCTAACTGCCTCTCCCCGGCTACGACATCCGGCAGAACCCAAGCACCGAGCCGGTCCTCGCTCCCAGGCCCCTGCCGCTGTTAGCTCTGCCCCAGCTCCGGCCGGAATCGGCAGACTTACCCAAGCCGCGGCGAGCGCAGGCGACTCCTAGTGCGGTGAGACTCCGAGAACCGAGAAGCGCGGCCAGCACCATGACACGGGAGGCGGACGGGCGGCTCTGCGAGGCGTCGGCGGGCCGCACAGGCCAGCCTCCCCCGCCCACCTCCCGACCAATCAGCGCGCGCGTCCAAACCCGTGCCCCTGTGCCGCCCGCCCCGCCCCCGCCGGCTGGAAGTAAGGGAGTAGATGGAGCCTGAGAACAACCCTAGAGCCTCCGCCTCTTTCGCGGGACCTGCCAGGCGTCCCAACGCCCAGAGGCCCAGGGGTTGCCACTAGACAGCGGTTCCCAGGAGGCCGAGCGCCGCGACTCCGGTGCACCAGAAGGAGCACAAGCACAGCGAGCGGTTACGGTCGGGATTGCGCTCTAAGATAGTTCGTCCTCTTGGGGTAGCCGTAGGCGTCAGGGGACCTGCTCCGGCCGAATCCACGTGACTCTAGGGGCTCTTGGCTAGGGCTATGGCGGCTTCCAGGCCGCTGTCTCGCTTCTGGGAGTGGGGGAAGAACATCGTGTGTGTGGGTAGGAACTACGCGGACCACGCCAGGGAGATGCAGAGCGCGGTGCCCAGCGAGCCCGTGCTCTTCCTGAAGCCGTCCACCGCCTATGCCCCCGAGGGCTCGCCTATCCTCATGCCCGCTTATAGCCAGAATGTGCACCACGAGCTCGAGCTGGGCGTGGTGATGGGCAAGAGCTGCTGCGCCGTTCCGGAGGCCGGGGCCATGGACTACGTGGCCGGTTATGCCCTGTGTCTGGATATGACCGCAAGGGACGTGCAGGACGAGTGTAAGAAGAAGGGGCTGCCCTGGACTCTGGCAAAGAGCTTCACAACCTCCTGCCCTGTCAGCGCTTTCGTACCCAAAGAGAAGGTCCCCGACCCTCACAACCTGAAGCTTTGGCTCAAGGTCAATGGCGAGCTCCGGCAGGAAGGTGAGACATCCGCCATGATCTTTACCATCCCCTACATCATCAGCTACGTTTCTAGGATAATGGCCTTGGAAGAAGGAGATATTATCCTGACAGGGACGCCGAAAGGAGTTGGCCCTGTTAAAATAAACGATGAGATCCAAGCTGGCATAGACGGGGTCGTCAGTATGAGATTTAAGGTGGAAAGGCCAGAATATTGAGTCTATACAAAACATCCTAACTTCTTAAGTTTCAGAAGAGAAGGGAGCCGGACAGAAAGGAGCCAAGGTTATTAAAAGTGACAATCCTTTAATAAGAAACCAATTTTTAAAGATGACTTGATTGGATTGCTGTGCCTCAACTCAGGAAAGATGGAAACTCCAAGAAAAACATGACCTAGAAGAGCTGGGTTAGAAATGGAAAGGAGAAAAGAGTGCCTGTCTGTCTTCTAGGAAACAAACAATAAAATGTGATGTCTCCAACGAGGAGAATTTATCAAACCAAATGTTCAGAAGACTTACTTTCCTTTTCTAAAATTGAACTGGATAAGACTTTTTCAGTGAGTCATTCTGGGATCAGTAGTCCAAGAACTGAAATATGAAAAGGAAGTTGAAAAACATGTTTCAAATCAGTGTGCCCATATTTCCTTTTTCATGGTAAGCATCTGGAGGTATTTGTAAAAAGATATTTGCAAATTACTAGTCTATACCACACCCACTGTATTATTAGCAGAATTAATCTCTAGTACTCCAAGTGATTCTTATGAAATGTGGAAAAACACTACTCCACATAATCAGTTAATTTAAAATTTTATTTGATAAGTTAACAATGAATGATGACCTCACTCGTTTGTACCCTGGCTCATAGATTCTGAATTTAAGAGATAATATTGAAACTATTATTTCCAAATAAATATGCTGTATTTTGTGTGGCCTAAAAGTGTGCTTCCCTGCCCCTGCCCCAACAGTGGCTAGGAGGGATATTTCCTTATTAAGGTACTTCAGACTGTGGTCACTAACCTTTGGCCTGGTGAGCACTGTGCTTTATTAACAGAGTTAATCAGTATCTCTTCCTCCTGACCAGAAATAAGGAGGCTTTAGGGAAGTTGAACGACCTGGGAGTGCTACTTTTGCTTTCATCCTCTTTCCTCTATAAAAAAAGATTAGGCACGTCCAGGCCAGGTTGTTCACTTGGTTGGTGCCTCATCCCATTGCAGATTCAGTCCCCAGTCAGGGCACATACATAGGTTTAGGGTTCCATCCCCTGTCGGGATGTGTACAGGAGGCAACTGATTGATATTTCTCTCTCTCCCCCCTACCCCTCCCTCCTCTCTCTCTAAATTCAGTGAACATATCCTTGGGTGAGAATTATTTTTAAAATAAAGTCTAGGGAACATGCAGAGTTCTCAAGCTGCTGGATGGAGTCCTTTAGGCTTAGGCAGGGACTCCTACTGTTAGTGTAAACAGGAGACATTTGCTGGCCCTTGAAAGCTTTGTTTCATAAGAACAGCTAACATTAAACCCTTAGTACTGCTAGATACTGTGCCAAACAGTTTTCCATGTATTATTTAACCCTCAACAAAGCTGTGAGGTTGGTGTTACTACCATCCCTATTATACAGATGAAGATGTACATTTAGAGGCTAGCCAGCCAGGCTCTCTAGAGCCAAGATGTAACCCAAATATTCCAAGACTGGAACCTGAAGTCTTGATCACAATGTAGGCTGTATCTTTTGTGTAAACATATAAAAAGTCACAAAGGTTTAGGTATTATGCATCCCCCATATTTAAGTTTAATTTACTATGAAGCACTCCCATAATTGTATTTATCAAATGTTGATATCTTAATTTTTTTATCTTTTAGTCGTTTTTTTAATTGCTTAAGTAATACATGTTTATTGCAGAAGAGTTAAAAAATATGGATAAGCAAAAAACAAAAAAACTCAAAATTTCATCTACCCAGAGACAGCCTAAGTTAAGCATTTGATGTACATTCTTCCAAATATGAATGTAATGTTTAGCACATGATTTGCTCATACAGCTTTATAACCTAGTTTTTTCACCATATATTGTGACTATGTTAGTCTGCACGTTTGTACAGTACTATTTTCAGTGACTGCATAAGATTGTGAAGTCAGTCCTTTATTTTTGGTCATTGAGATTGTTTCTAATTATTGGCTAGTAGAATCAGCTCACTGTTACTTCCTTTGGCTAGGTTCCCATAAGTGGAAGAGTTGAATCAAGGGTATACTCGTATTGAAAGTGTATTAGTTCACATAGCAGGTAAAAGATTTCAGCTGAGACAAGTCTACCAAACTGACAGACTTGAAAGCAAGGTAAAGGTATATAGCTCCCTTGGGTGGCACAAATCAGCATCCAGAGAGTGTATGGTGCCCCTAAGGTCAATGTTCACAACAGTGGTTCACAAGCTTTGTCACAAACAGCTGACAACATTTCAGGTGTGGCAAACAACGTCCTTGGCTGCAAGAATAAAAAATGGAAGAATCACTAATTCCCACAAATCCTGGTGTTGTTAAAACACATTAATCCTAGCACCTAGAAGGTACATTTGCCCCCTAACTTTTTGTTTTGAATAAATTTAAACTTACTAAAAAGTTGAAAGAATAATACAACAAACTCCATATACCCTTCACCACACACACACACACATGTGCGCACACACACACGATGGGCAAAAGTCGGTTTATAGTGGTGAGTACCCAGAATGGAGTTTATTCTTGTTTATTATTTATTAATGTATTATTTTCCATGTAAACAACTGCAAACCTACTTTTGCCTCACCCTATATATATATATATGTGTGTGTGTGTGTATATGTGTGTGTGTGTGTATATGTGTGTATGTGTGTGTGTGTGTATTCACAGGAAAATTGGGAGTTGCAGAAACACTCTATCTTTCAGCATGCATAGCCTAAGAACAAGGACATTTCTTCTATATAGCCACAGTACCATTACCACACTTAAGAACATTATTCCATCATATATTCATCCATACAGAATACATGGCTTCACATCTGTTCTTCTGGACTTCTAAAAACTTTTCAGTGGGCTTTTATTTTAAAAAAATGAATATTCTACGTTCATTTACTACACCAAGAACTCCAGATCAGTGAATATAGATCTTTCATCATCACTTTTATTGGCTGTGTCTTTGGTCATATATACCCTCCAGAGGCAGAGCCTAAGGTAGGGATTTTGTTAGATAACTTGCTGACAGTGCTCTCAAGAGAAAAAAGGTGAAAAGAAGGCAGAAAGGGCATGGAATAAATTAAAAGAATAAACCCTGACTGGTGAAGCTTGGTTGGTTGGGCGTCGTCCCACAAACTAAAAGGTTGCTGGTACAATTCCCGGTCAGGGCACATTGCCTGAGTTGCGGGCCAGGTCCCTAGTTGTGAGTATACAAAAGGCAACTGATTGATGGTTCTCTCACACATCGATGTTTCCCTCTTTTCCTCCCTCCCTTCCCCTCTTTCTAAAAATAAATGAACAAAATCTTAGAAAGAAAGGAAGGAAGGAAGAAATAAAAAGAAAAGAAAAAGGTCTCAAAGCTGGCTCAGCTTCAGTCCAAGGGGAGGTCATTACCAGAATCTACTCTGCCCACTCCTCCCGCCATCTTCCCCAGGTAATTCTCTGACACTTATGGAAGCTGAGGAATAGGTGCATATACGAGGTCTATCCAGAAAGTGTACAGCCATATAATATGAAAAATAGGTATATTGAAGAATATAAAAGATGAAAGAAACATTGTACATACGATTGTACATAGAACAATGACGCCTCGGTCCCCTTCAAAGTAGGCACCTTGACAACCTAGAGGCTGAAGGACTCCAGGGCCTTCTGAAAAGTTTAGATAAATGGTCATTTGCAATTTGGTCCTGAGTTACAAAAACATTTTGATGGACAAGGAAAAACTTTCAGTATTAAAGTTGACTTACACAGCCTTTCCTCCCATATTAAACGTATTTCTCAATTTGAAAAGTATATCTGAGGGTAAAATGACTGCTAACAGAGCTGGTAACATTAGTTTCAATATTTTCTTTGTTTTTAGATGGAGAGGTTGACCTCTTTGAGACAATTGAATTTAAAATTTTTATAGGTTACAGAAACTAAGAAATGTTATGACTCAGAAATTAATTCTGTTTTTATCTGCAGTAAGCCTTGCATTTTCTTTTTAGTGTGAAAATATAGCAAGTGTTCTGCATAGGCTTCACCTCGGGTAGGCCTCAAAAATATGTTGTCCATTTACACTTAGAGCACATTTCAATTTGGACTAGCTGCAGTGGCTTTTCATGTTGAACAGTACAGATACAGGGGAGAGCAGCTACTCCAATTAGGGCAAAAAAGCCAGAGGAGCCCAGAAAATTATACTTGTGTGATGAGAAAAAATGGAAAACAATGTCACTACCAAATAAGGTTGTATTTTGACTACCAATACATGTAATTTCTTACAGAATTATGTTGTGATAAACCCTAGAGAGGTATGGGGTCTATAGAGGGGTGTTGGAGGGGTGTCAAGTTCCTATAGTCTTGTGTGTGATAAACCGCCTTGGGCAAGATTTGGACAAGGGAAGCCAGCACTGATTGACCTCCAGTGAGGTACCTTGCTCTGGGCTAGAAATTTAACTTAATATTAATTCATTTAATTACCATCCCAACTCAAGACAATGATTACTATTCCTAATATACAGACGGAAACTGAGGTCAGGAAGTTAACTAAATTTCTCCAGGTTACACAGGTTGTAAGTCCTACTAAGCTCTCTGATTTCGAAGGTTTTGCTGTGTCTAACCACAGTATTGTGTTTTGTTTTGTTTTGTTTTTGCAAATCAGATTCTAGTCTTAACTCTATTTCTAACTAGTTGTATGACCTTGAAAAAAAATTTCACCTTTGGACCTTAGAATCTTCATTAGTCTAATTAGAGTTGACCTGGGTCCTGAGAAACTTTTCTGAGAAGGTGGGCCAGGGTTCTAAATGCTGTTGCTAGGAGAAAGGTTTCTCCAGAATTTACTGAACTGTTAAAGGGTCAAGTTTATTATATTGGTTCCAGTAGCACCATGAAGGGGTCAAAAAATAAGCCCTAATGTTATGGTGTACCTAAGAGCCATATACTGTTCTAAGTCTTTACATCTATTAACCCATTTAATCCTCACAGTCACCTATGAAGTAGGTTCTATTAATATTAATACTTCTTTTTCACAGATGAGGGCAGTGGAACACAGAGAGGCAAAGTAGCCTGCCCCAAGGTCACAAAGTTAATAAGTAGAACCAGGATTCAAATACAGGTATCTGACTCCAGACCCGTACTCTCAACTCACTACTTCCATTTAGGGAACTCTATCATGTTGGTCAGTCTATCACTGAGTGTTTTACTACTTCCCATAAAAGTTTAAAATACTGCTCCTGCTTTAAATCTGTTAGTCTTACTGATAGATGCACCAAGTTTTTTCATGTAGAAAAGTTACTCCATATGTGCCAGCTACCACAAATT